GCACCTATGAAGGCCTGCACGGCACACGAGGGGGTCGGTGGCCAGCACCACGCCCGACCGCCTTTGTCTCCCGAGTGGCGATGTTTACACACACAGCACCAGGTACTCATTTGAGGCTGAGTCGACTTAGAGGAGGCCCAGGACCGGTTCAGATAATCGTCACCGGTGTTGGGCCATGAGAAGAAATTGAACTTGGGTTTCCGGGCTCGTAGCGCAGTACACTACCCACTGCACCACCGTTAATATTTGACGGTATTATATTTCAATTCCTCTTATCAGTGCTGCGAATCTAATCAACTGAATTTCTTTTTCGATTTAAAGCTTTCGTGACCGCAGGGATTCATCTTCTTCTTGGTTCTTTCCGAAAGAACCAAGACTAACTGAATTTCTATATCGTTATCCGTCAGAGACCAATGGCAGACACATTGGTGTTTGTAAATAATTCTAGTTTTTATTTTTATCCAGGGAGCATGTGCAGACAAAGGGCTCCAGCGGCGTGCATGCATCTATAATTAGTGCCATGCATTTTTGTTGTTGTTCTTGCTATTATTTTCAACACCACTATTTATTTTCTCCCGCCGGAGTGACATGCCTGGGAGGTAAGTGGGCTTTGATTCTTGCCAGTGTTCTCGTCGATACTGCCACCGTGAACCGTGAAATTGGAATCCCCCGCAGAGCACATATATCAAAGGTGATTCATCTCTTTAATACCAGCCACTGTACAACAGAGGAGTGTGCAAGTGCCGCTGCCTTAACCCCCCCGCAAATCAGACGAGTGATTACGAACAGCCGAATGGGCAGTCGGGACAGCCTGACATGGGCTTCGTTAAATTTCTGTCTGGAGCTGTATAATGCGCACTCGTAATGTACGTTGATTACCATATAAATAACACAAACGGCAATGGATTCCCATAGTCATATATATGCATTCTTTAATCTCTGCCGCCCCCCCCCCACTTCGCGAAAGAAAAACACACAAGTGACGTCATCACATCTACTCTATTTAAGGAACGAAACAGGAGGATTTCTCCACAAATCTGGCTGTCGCCTGATGAAACAAGTTGTAATTACTGGCGAAAGGTCGTACTCAGATTCTACATGGTGTGAGTTTGCTCTGTACTAGTAAGGAATTGGCACGTTCTGTTCACGTGACAAACCTTACTAATTGGCTGTGTCGGGTGGTGGAGGGTTTAACGACACATTAATATATTTTACGCGATCTAACCCAAAAAACCTCTTATGGATGATATTGGTCGCGATAGGCTCCTCCGTGTTAAACGAACTTGTACAGTGCTCTCTCAAACACAGCTTGGTCACGTCTGGTTTTAGGGGTAAAATTAAAAATCACATTTATTGGATCATTGAAGAAAACAAAATCTGCGGAATTGCAGCTTGAAATAGTTTTTATCGTCTATTTTATTTTCAATCCGTTTGCATTTTTCAGACAACTATATTTCCTCACTGGCACCTGAGGAGGCCTTCATCCAGCAGTGGATTGAAACGTTTTCTTTCATAAACAATTAAATATGATATACTATATTTCTTATTACTACAGTATATTGCTTATTTTGATTATGATGCTAAAATTAAATGCCGAATCTGCTATTAGTATATATTGCTCTCTGCTCATTTGTCTAATCGATTTTATCTCGAGAACTGACTATTACTAGCCTCTCCATCTGTCTGTATCTACTTACCTATCACTTAATTTCCATATCCATCCAGCCATCTCGTACAACATATATTTGCCTTGTAAGTATCTGGGGTGATGCAGTAGTGTCTTGGTTATCGCGCTGTTCTATTGACCCGGCCACGCGAGTTCAATTCCTGGCCACGATTAGTCATGTTGTCTGTAATGTTGTTACCCGCCCCCTACTGACATTTGTGAAAAAGAGCTTAATAGCTCATCGGATTCTTCCAGTATAAATATATGTTCTGATTCTGACACTGATCAGCGTGGTGAAGTATGGTAAAAAAAAACGAAAAACCTTCATTAGTTGCTGATATGGTGTGGGGTGCCATTCATTCACTTGTAGATTGGGAATGACGGGAATAATTAATTGATTAATTATAGGTACTTTTTATGCTTGAAAATTCTTTCCGTGTTTTTGTTTTACCTTCTCATTAATGTGAAAGCATTGGACACACAGCCGAGGGCACGCATCTCCACGATAAGAACCTCACTCACCGTGGAGGCATTGCGCAGCCAATATGATACTGAATTTATCTTTTGGTTTGGTCACCAAATGTGTGTCGTGAAGCCCCCTCCACCACCCGACGCAGCCAAATAGCTTAAATAGTCCGGTTATTATTTTGTGCTTCATCGGTGCTCACTTATCTTTATTAACTCATCCTCCAACTAGTGTCGTCTCGGCTTCGCTTCGCAAGAAAGAGACTTCGATTGGTAATAATGCAGGGGAAAAAAAGGTAAATGTACGGGATAAGATGCTCACTTTTGACAGATGGCTAGGTTAATCATAGGGCAGCCAGCTGCTCTGGGTAGGATTACTGTCGAACAAGCATCATGCCTTTTAAGGGTTGACATAAATCACATAATCTAGTTCAGGTGTCATGAAAAGCGTAATTGTAATAATCCTAATAATAATTATCATCTGTATGTCTCCAAACTGTCGTTCACTTTGGCTAGATTGCTATGTATGTGTGTAGAACTTCTTTTTCATTGTACGTGACCAACCGTGCTAATCGGAGGTGCTATTCATTATTCAGTTTCTCTGTGTTCAGCCTGTCAGCTTTCAATGTGTTTACGTATTTAATTAGACTATCTTTAATCTGGCTCTCCATCTGTATTTATGTTTGGTTAGGTTTCTATCTCTGTCTTCAACTGATCTGTTTGCAATCTTGATACATATTGAGTGAAATGTGTTTGCAATCTGTCTGTCTCCATTGCCCCATATTCAGTCTCTCTATTGAGTCTCTAATCTGTCTCTCTGTCTTTGTCAATCTCTCTTCTTTGTATCCCTCTGTCCATCTTCGTCGTCTCTCTGACTGGCTGACATTTTTCCTTCAAGCATTTTAATCCATCTAGTTATTTATGTGCTTCGTATGTCCGCCCATCTATTTCGCTTTGTCCATTGGCAGCCTTTCGCTGTAAGGGACAAATGTCGCAGTGCAACCTGTAACTCCAGTAAACTCTTGTTAATTCGACACATATGGGGCTCTGGCCTTGCCAAATGATCCAATATTCCGAATTATGTACAATGGAACTCCCCAGTGCCTCTCACCCCAATAGAAAAAAAAACATCCAAATTTGTTTTCCAAACTCTTCATGCACCGTACGCATTGTTTTTAGTTTTTTTCAGTTTAATTTAATTGGAATAACCCTGTGAGCCATTCGGCTCTTGATTCGGGTGCAACCGCAACAAACAATCAAATTACAAGATACATTTAAAATTTGCTGTACGCAAGTTGATACATCCCCTACAAAAACAATAAAATCTTCCAGGAAAAAGCACCATTTGTGTATGCTGCGTACAAAAATAAGTAAATAAATACATAAATAGATATCCAAAACCTTGGATTTGTCTCGCAGACCAAGGGATTTATCCTCCAGTCCCTTTCTATTACTTCTTGATGTAGGTGTGGACGACATTTCTGCGAGGGTTGGCTTGCTCAGAGTGCATCAACAAGGTGAGGTCCAAAGCGACAGGTCTGCACTAACGCTCACCACATGCCACTTGACCGAGTCGTTGTTTTGGTCGTGGCGCGTGGCGTCGCACCACGTGTGTGCAGAAATCGGACCATTCGGTACGGCAATTTGGCTCATAGCGAATTACTAATACTGGACTCTTTGGTTGTTTCGATAAAGTCACGTAGGTAGAAAAAAAAAATATAAAAATATCACGACGTTTCGATTGCAACGCAAGCGGTCGTCCTCAGGCGGAACAAATCATCCAGAAGTGGAACTGCTGAACGAGGAAGAACACAGCGAGCGAGCTGTTACAACAAGAGGTTATACATGTGGCGAAGGGCAAGCAGGCGGGGTCTGAGCTGGAAAGGAATTCCATCCCTGCAAGCAAGCACGTATATATGCCGAAAGCGCAGCCGTGCCGAAATATCCCCATTTACGAATGATCAAATACCGAAATAACGAGGTTTTAGTGTTATAGTTTTAGTGAACTCTGCCAGTGGGATTACGGGTGGTGGGTTTTAGAATATCCCCTTGGCACTGCAGTGATAGGAGCTTTAGGGTTCATCCTTTCAGGATGAAATGTGAACGGACCTGTCTTATTAGACTCCACCACGGAGTGGAGGGCAATCTCGGGGTAAACTCATCCTGCAGGTGGTGTCAACAACAACAATAACACTGGACGTGACAATGTGTGGAGTGCTTGAGGAACTTTACTGCAGGTGTCACTTGTGAGTGGAGAGTGGTGTGGGCGGGTGGGGAAATACAACGACCATCTGGCAAGCCAGACCATCAATGGGGCCTCGATTTTAATAGGGGATCAATAGGTGGCCCAGAGGTCAGATTGCTGAGCTGGCACTGCTGAGATCCTGGGTTCGGATCACACAATCAGCCACCTATGATTCAACTGTGAGTTAACAAGTGCAGTGAGTTAATGGTCTCACATGATGCACAATCAATAACTGCACACCAAAAAAAAAAAACATCGCGTTAAATTTGATTATTCTGCTCTTAATCTGCCTAAATTTCAGCTCTATGATTTGAACATGTCGATTTGACTATTGTTCGCTCAGTGGCAGGGCAAGTGGAAAAGTGGTGCTCACTCCTGTGCAGACCAGAGGTCACTCACTTCAAGGCATCTCAGCGGTGGCTCTGCGATATCCGCTTATGTGGGCCGTTTCTTAACGCAGAGGGTTGTGCTGTTCTCCAAGAGATCCAATTGGATTCGTTGTCCAATTACGTGTCGCTGATGGCGCAATATGATCTAAATCGGGGGGGGGGGGGGGGAGACCAAGACAAGAGTTCAGTAACCACGTCAAACATCATCACGCCGACCGTGTTCCCACGCCGGCAGGTGACGGCAACCACAAGGAGGACTACCCTTTCCTGCACGCGGGGGACGACGAGCTGGGGGAGGGATGCGACAAAAACTTGGCGCTCTTCGAGGTGAGTGCAGCAGCAGTCGCTGTGCCGTCCATTGGCCGCCTCCAGTGTTCCTCCAAACGTCCTGATCCATCGCCCCCAGCCGGCTCTGCTGGACCGGCACGGTCGTCATCATCGTCGCCGTCGAGCGCGATGATCCACGAGCGCCATGGTGGGCGTGCGAGTCCCGTTGGCCCGAGAGAGAGAGAGCCCACGTTCAGATTGAGCAGCATTGTGAATGCGGCTTTCATGAATGGCTCTGCTATGTACAAACATCTTCTTGGTTCTTTCGGTAAAGTCACGTAGAAGGGAAATAATAAAATATTAAAAATAAACATAATAAAATAATTTATTTTTATTAATATTGTATTATTATTATAATAAAAATAAAACATAATATTTTTTTATTATGTTTTATTTTTATTATTTTATTATTTCCCTTCTACAGTGACTTTACTGAAAGAACCAAGAAGATGAATCCCTGCAGTCACTTAAGCTTGAAATCGAAATATATACAAACACTCATACTCTCTAGTTCTTTCGGTAAAGTAACGTAGTTAGAAATAAATCACGACGTTTCGATCGCAACACAAGCAATCATCATCAGGTGGGAAACCACCTGATGATGATTGATTGCGTGACTTTACCGATAGAACCAAAGAGTATGGATTCCTGCAGTCACGAAAGCTTGAAATCAAGATTGATACAAACACTAATTAGGTATTCCTCTTTTGATTTATTATGAGCCACAAGAATCTTCATTGGTCAATAAATCGATGGATCATTATTACACCGTTAATGAAAGGTTCTGTATAAATTCAGCAAAGAAACGCTGAATGTCAAGAGTTTTTTTCGGGATGATAATTCGTATATTTTCCCAATTACTGCCTATTATAACTAATACAAATTTGCATCCCCACCTACCCTCACTGTTCTGGTCTCTATTCTTGGTTATTTTGGTAAAGTTATGTAAAAGGGAAACAATAAAATAATAAAAATATAAAACAACATATTTTTTTAATTTTAATGTTTCCCTTCTACGTGACTTTACCAAAAGAACCAAGAATATGAATCCCTGCAGTCACGAAAGCTTTAAATAAAAATTTGTTCTGGTCTATTTTATATTGCCGCCACATGCACACGTATTATTCCACCTGATTAATAAGTCAAAAAAATTGGTGAGACCAGGCAATGATCTCGCAAACTTTTTATCTTTAACAACCCTTCATCACCTAGCACATCCAAACAAATTAAATTGTCACGTGGTGTACAAGCATTTAACACGTCAGTTACGATAGTTTTAGTTCACCCACTGGGAAGTTGACGAACAATTCCCACAACCATATTTTGCAATGCAGTACTGTACAATGTTTCCTGTGAAACTATGTCAAGCATCACGAGGAGGAGATCCAGGAAGTCATTAAATGAATTATTAATCAGTATATGCTATGATAACCTACATATCAAATGAAGCCAGTATCCACATGGGTGCCTTTTAAACAAATAACCAGTCACTGTATGGTCAATCAGCCCCTTTCCCAATTTCTCCCTTTTCCCTCCCTCCCTCCCGCTTTTTTAACCTTTAAAAGTTTATTTACCATTCAGCATGGGAAAACAAGACACTATAGTTTTTACAACTGCAACGTGAAAACGATGCAGTGGAGAAACTAAGTGCACAATTGGACAGGCAGAATACCGTGTGCAGCATACGCACTATCATTGTTTAAGAGCAGAAAATAATCGACCCATCAAATATAAATTCAAATGGAATCGTGACATTTATGTGGAATGGGACTGAGTTCAGGGTGCATTATTCACCTTTTATTACACGACACTGCAGTTTACTGGTTTAAGTAATCCCTCCCTCCATCCCCGTGTGTCTGTAGGAGGAGATGGACACACGGCCGATGGTTTCGTCCCTGCTCAACCGCCTGGCCAACTACACCAACCTCCCCCAGGGGGCACGGGAGCACGAGGATGCGGAGAGTATGGAGGGGGCGCGGAAAGCTCCTCCCAAGGTAAACAAATAAAACTAAAAAACTATTTTTTATTTTTTACCAGGTAAGTCCACCACTGAGCTACTGTACGTCAATTTCGATTTAACGCTTTCGTGACTGCAGGGATTAATCTTCTTGGTTCTTTCGGTAAAGTCACGTAGAAGGGAAGTAATACAATAATAAAAATAAAACATAATAAAATAATTCTCACGACGTTTCGGCCACAACGCAAGCAGCCCTCCTCAGACCTGGTCTTCACCTGAGGACGGCTGCTTGCGTTGTGGCCGACACGTCGTGAGAATTATTTTATTATGTTTCATTTTTACCAGGTAAGGCCACCACTGAGCTACTGTACATAGCTGGATTTTTTTCAGAAGCGACCTGGCTACATATGATAGCTCGACGAAGTTTATTTCTCGTCGTGTAGAAATGTATGGCAGCCAAATACAAGAAGCACAATGTTGATTCTAAATGTAGGGGGAAAAACCGGGGAAAAAATCCACGCGACCACGGGGAGAGACATGCACACTCTAAATATACAGGCAAAAAGGTTGGGATCGAATCTACGACATCCTTTATACCAGGCCAGGCAGTTAACATCTTGCCAGCGTGGCCATGACTGCACGACCTCCCCCCATTGACAGGGGATACGCAGTGCCCCCCAGGAGGAGTGCTAATTCATCACGCTACTACAATCAAATGGACGTAGTTTTCATTCTCACTACTGGAATGTATCCAAACAAAAGTGTGCAGATACGAAATTTAAGATGATTGGTGTTTTGTGCAGCCTTTGGTGACCGGGCTGAAACCATCATGGTTTAGTTATGTGCTGCTGCCTGGATTCGAACTCAAGATGCAGCAGACCTCTGAGCCACCCAGCCACCTCTGGCTGTGATTTGATTTAAGAATCAATCCTCTTTCTTTTACATTGGGGTGAATGTAGCAGCCTCTAGTGGCTGACAGGGGCATTTTAACCCATTACACACAATGTATATTGATCAAAACATATTAAATCTCTCGCGTCATTCGACGCATGCATCGGGACCTTAGAGAATCAATATAAAATAACAATCGATGCATCCTTAAACCCCGAACACCCTCTCTGTCTTCGTTCTGTCTCTCTATCTCTTTGTGTCTTCCAATCTATTTCCATCTCTCAAATATTTCTCTTTTCTCTCTCTCTCTCTCCACCCTGCTGCCGCACCCATCTCTCTTCCATCTCTTCTTCCCTATCTCTCTCCACTCCTTTCCGCCACCATCGCTCCTTCCTTCCCTCTCCCATTGTGCCCCCTCCCCCCCACCTCTTTTAACAAGAAGATGCTCTGTGTATTCGGCACTTTGCTTCGTTCATCATTTCGTATTTTTTTTTTTATAATAACTTTGCTTGATGTAAACCCCCACCTCTCGCTCACTCTCTCGCTCACTCTCTCGCTCACCCACCTCTCTTGCCTTGGACATGTGGCCCCCCGGTCTAGGCCCCCAGGATGGGCACCTTCATGGGCGTCTACCTGCCCTGCCTGCAGAACATCTTCGGAGTCATCCTCTTCCTGCGTCTCACCTGGGTGGTGGGCACGGCCGGCGTGCTGGAGGCGTTCTGCATCGTCTTCGTCTGCTGCTGCTGCGTACGTAGAGCCCCTTTCTTCGCCCAAGGCATCCGGGCAACCCTAATGCAGAGCGGCACCTCAAGGCCCACTGCATGGGCGGCACAGTATTAATGTGAAGTGATGATTTTAATGAACGTAATTAATTCACGTAAACCAGGCCTATGAAGCTCTCCATACCCATCCTCTCTGCGTCTTTCCTCTCTCATCTCACAACATGTCTATTATTTTATACGTTTCTCATCAACTGCATACCGACTTTCAAAGCAACATTTTTTAAAGAAATTTTTACAAATTTCATTAAGGGTTATTAATGATTGCGTTTCTGTGCTTTTAGTTTCTGCCAATTAAAACCAATAATCGTTCTGGACCAGTGATCGAGCACAATGCCTGTCAAGTCTGGTGCCCTTTGATGTTTCATTCTAAGTGAGACCTTAAATCTGTGGCTCTTTAGTGAGGAATGTTAATTACGAGCGGTGTTTACAAGCAGAGTGAATTTGCATATCCAGCAGCTGAACAATAGTGTCAGTATTCTTGTCGAGTGTGCATATTGTAACGTGATTTGGCATAGCTGGTGTTGTTTTTAAAGACATCTCTGTTGATGCCACCAGACATCACCATCACTTCCTTCTTTTTGATAATTGGGAAACATTCAGTAACACCAGTACTTAATGTCGAAAGTTTTCAGGGCATCGCAAGTGCAATCTCCCGCTACGTGTTTGGCAATCTTTCTTTCTGCTCTCCACTGTAAAGAAAGATGGCCATACAGCCCCTTGGCCATCCACTGCTTGATGATGAACATTTGCCCATTTTATATTTTTTCTCTTGTAAGGAAGTATTAATGATGAAATGTGGGGAGTCATTTATTTGTCCTTGTGAGCTCCATTCAGTTTAAAGCCATTCCCCTGTCAGGGCAATACGATGGGCTTGGGCAATGACAATCATTGTTAATGGTTGGCCATCATTTTATATTGTGCAAAATAAATTCCCAAGTATGGGCAACGAGAATGGCAACTTCCAATCAGATCACAGGCAGAGGTCACGTGACTGCCCAAGGTTGTGAACGCTGCAGACCAATTATTTTTCAAACTCTGTTTTCATTGGCTACAGAAAATTGCAACACTGTTTGACTGCCTTCCCAAGTTTGTCATCGTCACACACAGCAATTGCGTTGCCAGTGACAATCGGCCAGCAATGATTGCCCTAAACTTGCCCGAATGTATATTTGCCTTGAGCAAAATATATTCTGTGGAAGCCTCAGTGTCCTTACGTTGTAGGGCCACCGTCTGTGTTGAAGTGTCTGACGCTGGGCTTGTTCATTCATCCTCCCTGCACAGACCATGCTGACTGCGATATCAATGAGCGCCATCGCCACCAATGGTGTCGTCCCGGGTGAGTCTGGGTATTGGGGTCAAAAGGGGCACCACGGTGGCGAGATGTTGACTACCTTGCCTGGTATCCAGGAGGTTGTGGGTTCTCCGAATCCTCGATGTTTTCCCCTCCACATTTATAATGACCATCACGCGTTTAGAGTATTTGCCTGCTGTGAATGTCCACGTGATGAGGCACTTCTTTGAGCTGTCATTTGTGGCCAGCTCGTTCCTGATAAAGAGCTTCAGAGCTCGGAGGGCCTTACCTGGTAAAATTAAAATAGTTTAGTTTTTTTGTTGAGTTTTTAAAGGTCAGAGTCATCGCAGAGGAAGATGAACACACACGACTGCTACACATGGGAGTGTGCAAGTGTCGATAATAGTATCAATGAATATAAGTTCTTTATCCGGTGATGCTGTTTGGAATGCATGGCTAATTTGTGATTGAGTAATTGTGCGCCGAGAATATTTGGCCTGAAACCCCCCTGGAAATTAGATATGAAGCTCAAGGGGTCTATCTTGCTTGAATTAACATTAATAACAATCATGCTTGGAGCAAACCCATGAAAACCAATGTAAATGTGGGACCATAACTCCATTGTGGGTGGTGATGATGCTGCCGATGATGATGCTGGACAACATTAAAGATTGGCCACTGAAGCTGTCAGGGTCTCCCATAGGTAGACCTTGCCGATCGTATATTGGTTTACGTCACCATGTCAACTCGAGCACTGGGAGACAAATGTGCTCCGTTGTGTTTTGGTACTGGCCACACCGCCCATCCGCGAACTGCCACGAGCCTCAATTGATGCTCGCTAACAGCGGGTGCCGTCGATTGCAGCGGGCGGCTCCTACTTCATGATCTCGCGCTCGCTGGGCCCTGAGTTTGGTGGCGCCGTCGGCCTCTGCTTCTACCTGGGCACCACCTTCGCTGCCTCCATGTACATCCTGGGCGCCATCGAGATCCTGCTGGTGAGACGTTCACACGCTCACGCACGCTTACGACGGTGGTATCCAGTGTGTACACGTCCCTTTGCACCTTCACGCACAGTCCTTGTGCTGTCTGATAAGTTTTGACAGTCACACACACTCGACAGTTCTATCCAAACAAAATGCGTTGTGATCTTCACGCACACATACAACAGCTCTATCCAATGTGAATGCATTGTGAAATTATCACACGCACACCGACACGTGAGACCCTGTCCATTGTGAACAGAGACAAAGGTCCCCGTATAACCTGAACAACTGTTGGAGCAAGTGCTGTTAGCGAGCACTTATGAAGGCCAGCACAGCACATGAGAGGGTGGGTTTGCCAACACCATGCCCGGCTGCCTTGGTCTCGCCAGTGGTGATGTTTACACACCGCACCAGGTACCCATTTGAGGTTGAGTTGATCTAGGGAAGGACCATGACCGTTTCAGATAATTATAACTGGTGTTGGCCGTGAGCGGGAATCGAACTTGGGTCGCTGGGTATTTGTAGCGCAGCGCACACAGACACACACTCGGCAGCCTACCCAATGTGAACATGTTCTGATATTCACACACACACTTAAAAGTCCTGTCCAGTTTGAACATGTTCCGACCTTCATATAGATGCTTTATAGATGTACGCATTGTGAACGCATTCCACACGCACAACACCCCTATCCAGTAAGAATACATTTTGATCTAACTTACACATGACGACTATGTACTGTGGACACGTTCCTTGACACATACACACACAACAACTCCAACCACCATTGGAACCTCCTATGCCAGTAGCAAAATATGATAATTGTTTTTTTTTTAATCTGGCAACAAAACTGACACCTTTTTTTTTTACAAGGAGTCATGTTTGCATTGACCACAATACCTGCGGTCGGAATGCAAAAAAAAAAGACAACTCTGATAATGTATGCACTGTCCTTGAAATTGATTGGTCCACACCCGAGACAGCTTTTCTTAGAGCCTAGTCTCAGATGGTGTTGGACCAGATGACGCCAAAAGGCTCCAACCAGTCAAAACACAAGATCTTCAACCACAAGCGACGGCCCAGCCAGTGTGAGCATTAAACACATTCCGACCCTCATGGACACACTGCAGGCCTTTCCAATGTGAACATCTTCTGTATGAAACCAGGATGTTGGGCCGAGTCAACCCCCAACCACGATTTGAATTCTCAACTTTCCGATCGCAAACCGTTCGCTCTACCGCTCAGCCACATGGCCAGATTTTAACGTGCAAGTTTATTGAGGTCACTGTGTGTGTTATTTTGGTGTGGTCTGGGGCAGTTTTTGCTGTTGTTTAGCTGCCTTTCCCATGCTTGGGAATTGTTGTACTTATGCGCTTTTAACTTATATACTTGATCTATTTTAGGTTTTTTTTTTATTTCTAGCGATTTGCTTACCTTTCCTATACTTTTCACTCTGATCGTTTATTTTATTGTTTGTTTGTTGTTGTAACTTACTGACACACCCCCTTACTGGACATCTGTTGAATAAAAAAAACTCATAGCTTATCGGATATCTCGAGTCTAAATAAAGATTCTGAGTCTAGATTGTCATTATTATGCTGCCACGCCAACCCCCGTGCTATGGTAGCGAAAGGGGCGTTGCGGTGGCGAGATGTTAATTACCTCGCCTGGTATGCAGGAGGTTGTAGGTTCGATCCCAACCCTAATTCCTGTATATTTGGAGTTTGCATGTTCTCCCTGTGGTTGCGTACATTTGTATCCGGTTCCTCTGGTTTCTCCCTCTTCATTCCGAATCAACGTGCGTTTAAGAGTATTTGGCGGTTATGAATTTCCACGTGATAAGCCACTTCGTTAGGCTATCATTTGTGGCCAGGTCGCCTCTGAAAAAAATAAAATAGCTGTAAAGCTCGGCGGTCCTTACCCGGCAAAACAAAGATAGCTTCATCCTTTTGTTTCTCTCGCCCGCCGCCCAGACGTACATCGTTCCGTCGGCGGCGATCTTCCGCGCGGAGGACGGCGGGAGCGAGGCGGCGGCGATGCTCAACAACATGCGCATGTACGGCACGGCCTTCCTCGCCTTCATGGCCGTAGTGGTGTTCGTGGGGGTCAAGTACGTCAACAAGTTCGCCATGCTCTTCCTCGCGTGCGTCATCCTCTCCATCCTGGCCATCTACGTCGGAGCCATCAAGACGGCCTGGAGTCCGCCGCACTTCCCGTGAGTGGCAACTTCCCGCTTCAGCGCACCGAGCTGACCGGCGTGGTGTCGCTTGTTCAACTCAAGCCACCCCCCCCCCCCTCCCAACGTGGTCCGTACGGCGCGTGGGAGGCCGTCACCCAGCAGTGGTTTGAGACGAGCGTTGTTGCGCGTACAAATGCTCTAGACCAGTGTTCTTCATTGCAAGGCCCGCGGGCTACTGGCGGCGGTGGCCTTTAGTGCGGCTCCTGACGTGCGGCCCCTGGCATGGGGTGAAAACACCCCATCATGCTGTCAGAGCCAATGGCTTCAAATGTGTGGCGGCCCTCACACTGATGATGTCTTATCGGCGAAAGTGGCCCCCACTCTCAAAATGAGTGCCATGAAAACTGCTGCATGAGTCAATAGTTGTTGGTGACGTGCGGTGGAATTTATAATCGCAATGGCTTTACCGTCTCTTACTGTGTGGACACTAGGGTCACGTGAAGAGATCCCGGACGTAGTTATGTGCGTCGTTCTGTAACACACAGGGTTGCATTGCTCCGCGGGAGAATGGATTAATCATCTCTTGACGTGAACACCGATGGCACAATCGGGGGTGAATTAGTGGGAAAAGACAAAGAAAATACGTTAAATAAAATCAAGTGATGATTGCCTCGCATCACTCACTCACACCACCACTATTAAATTAGCACCAGCAGCACCAACACCAGCAGCACCAACATCACTTTGAACACGAACGGCATCAACACTCCGTTTCCACTGCCGGCATCAGCAGCACCTTCAAGACCAACACTGCCGCCAACACCGCTGCCATCATCACCATAAACACCACCGCCAACAACAACCCCAACACCAACTCCACAAACATTGTCACCACCGTCAAACACCGAGATCATCAGATGCCGTTGCGTCCAAGATTAAGGAAGCCGAATAGACGTCAAATTAGTTGCAGCAACGTCTCCCGCGTCGCCCTAAACCCCGCCCGGCTGCCTTGCTTAGAGGAAATCCCTTTGACAGGATCTGCATGCTGGGGAACCGCACCCTGTCGCAGAAAGACTTTGACGTCTGCGCCAAGACGACGCTGCAGGAGAACGACACGCTTGTCACGACCAAGCTGTGGAGCTTGTTCTGCGACTCGGCCTTCCTCAACGCCTCCTGCGACGAGTACTTCGACATCAACAACGTCACCGAGGTGCCGGGCATCCCAGGCATGGCCAGCGGAGCCATCCTTGGTAATCCACCTGCCGGCAGGGTAGACACGCAACTCACGATTAGCGCGGTTGGCTACCAGAGGTGTGTAATAAGTTCAACGCACACAGAAAAAGATCCTAGATTTGAAGTTTTCGTGACTGCAAGGAATCGTTCTCTTTGGGTTCTTTCGGTAAAGTCACGTAGGTAAAAAACTTAATAAATTAAAAACAACTCAATTAAATCACGGCTTTTCGGAGGCAACACAAGCTTCCGTCGTCAGGTGTAACCGTTACAGCCAAATTCACTGTATTGCCTCCGAAACGTCGTGATTTAATATAATTGTTTTTCATTTATTAATTTTTTACCTACGTGACTTTACCGAAAAAACCAAAGAGTACGGACAAAGATCGCCCGTATAGCCTTAACAGACTGTTGGGGCAAGTGCTGTTAGTGAACACCTAAGTTAGCGAACACCCAAGTTCACCGCACACAGACACACACACACACACGTGGATGCTTTTTCAACCAGGGGTATTAATGGCTTAAGCCGGAATTTCTCATCGTTCTTTGACAGCGTTGTCTATGCAGCATATCCAAAACAAATGGAATAACGCCACCGATCCCAAAAATCGTTACGGTTTTAATCACGGCTGCATTTTGTTTGATTCTCACATGTCGCCACTCTCACACTGGGTGCCTGAAACGGTTGAAACACACCGCTCGAACGTATTCACACGGCTGGTCGCGCTGACCACGCTGTGTGATGGTACATCTCTAAATAATTAAAATGTTTTATTATTTAAGTACCACTTTGCCAGTCTTTCCCAAATACTGTACAGATGTGGGCATTGGTAAGTCACATGGTGAGTCCCGTTGCAATTGGTGCAGGGAATTCGTAGTTTTTTGACATAGTAGCGACACGGATGATTTCATTGCACGTTTATTTCTGTTGTTGCTGGTGTTAAAGAAGAAAAATATCCATTAGGTTTGATCTTCCACGAAACTCATTGTCCACTCTAAACCACATCCGCATATAACATAGCATGATGCACAAGTGGAAAATGTTTCAGAACAGACCGTACAACCTATGACGATGCAATGCCCGATCCACAATATTTATACTGGAGGAATCCGATGAGCTATAAAGCGTTTTTACACAGATGTCCAGTGTAGGAAAGGTAAATAAATCACTTGCAAAAAATATACGAACAAAACTAAACTATTTTCATCTTACCAGGTAAAGCCCGCTGAGCCATTATCTTAATTTTCAGAAGCGACCTGGCCACAAATAATAGCTCAACAAAGTGGCTTACCGTGATGCGGTTATCTGGCTTGACCACCTGAATGTTCAATTGCAGTTGTTGCTCTGCATACGCTGTATGTGTGTATGTTGAACTTCTTTAGCACCGTACGTAGCCAACCGTGGCTAATCGGAGGTGCGGAGGGGAAGAAGTATTGTCACGCGAACAGTCGTGTCACTCGTCGCGCTGTGTCTGGCAGAGCACGTGTGGAACAGTTACTCCGGCAAGGGAGACCTCGCCGAGAGAGTTGTGGTTGGTGGTGGTTCTGATGGCGGTTGTGTTAATGGTGGTTGTGATGGGGATGGGGACAAGAGGAAGAAAGGTAATAATCGTCACGCGAAGAGTGATGTCGCTCGTTGCGCTGTGTCTGGCAGAGAACGTGTGGAGCAGTTACTCCGGCAAGGGAGACCTCGCCGAGAAGGCCGGGGTGGAGGCCGTGGGCGGAGGGGAGTACCCCAGCCGCACGCTCCCTTACGTGTTCGCCGACATCGCCACCTCCTTCACTGCCCTCGTTGGGATCTTCTTCCCGTCCGTGACCGGTTTGTCTTTTTGAGCAGGGTTTGTCAACGTTGTCATCGACCGTCGTCGTTGCTGTTGTTGTTGTTGTTTTTGGCGCCCGCATTTTCACCGTGTCATTGTAACAGTGACATTGTTACGACGTCGACCATCATCATTATCATCATCACCGTCATTTTAACATTGTTAATACTGGTAGGAACCCACTGGTTCCACCAGCCCACAGGGGATTATTGTGTCCGTCCGTCGTGCAGGGAGGGGCTGGGTGGGGCGGGGTGGGGAGGGGCTGGGTGGGGAGGGTGGGGCTGGGTGGAGGATGTGAGGGGTGGGGCTGGGGAGGGGAGGGGCTGGTCACCCCGTGGTGCCCTTATAAAACTCAACGTTTCACCTACTCACGCCGGCTTGTGCCCGCCCTCACAGTCAGGCATATTTGCGGAATACACCACGCCGCCGTTGACCCTGGCCATTGACCGAGCAACCCAACGTTCCTACCAGCTCCCTCCGCAGGAATGTGTTAATCGTTGGATCCTGCCGTTGTGTAATTGTTCGAAAACTTGAATTGCCATCCAGAGGTCGCCGGTTCCATTCCAACTCCCGGTGCGTCGCTCGAAACGATGGTGCCGGATTCTTAATTCCCACCCCCACTGTGTGATAGATTAAAGTGTGAACACTTTCACCTCTACTAATAGGGGTTTTCCCCTTTTTCTGGCAACAAAACTGACACATTTTGCAAGGCATCATGCTTTCATATCCGCCTGCCCGCCGTACCTTTCTTCATTACTGACAACTTGCAGCTCAGCACACGGCAGATGCCTGCGCAGCGCGACTCACGACCTCCTCTCAATACCAAGATCCAGGATGGTCATGTCTACGCGCCGCTTCTCGGTGGCAGCCCCAACAGTCTGGAACGATATCCCTCTGCACATTCGCAGCATCACCTCAATCGCCTCCTTCAAGAGACACTTAAAAACTCACCTCTACAATCATGCTTTTGAGCGACTCTGAGCTTGGCTCCGCGCCTCTGAGTTGCGGCCACTACGTCTGCAAATTTGCGCGCGTTACAAATTGTACTATTATTATTACATTAACCACAATACTTGCAGTCAAATGCAAACAAAAAACAATACTCTGATAATGTATGCATTGTCTCTGAAACTGATTGGTCCAAACCAGAGACAGCTTTCTTTGGAGCCTAGTCTGATATGGTGCGCCTTTTGGCGTCATCTGGTCGAACACCATATGAGACTAGGCTCCAAAGAAAGCTGTCTCTGGTGTGGACCAATCAGTTTCAGAGACAATGCATACATTATCAGAGTATTGTTTTTTGTTTGCATTTGACTGCAAGTATTGTGGTTATTGTAAGCATGATGCCTTGCAAAAGGTGTCAGTTTTGTTGCCAGAAAAAAGGGGAAACCCCTATTAGTATATTTTGGTACTGGCAAAGGAGGTCCCATGATGCACCTCTTCAACGTGGTGTCTGATCGGTGTGGGAGAGGAGGCCAAATCACCTCTAGAGGGGTTCTCTCTTTAGTGGTGGAGGCTCTTTCAGCAGCAGCGGCGTGAGCGAGCAACCGCAGGGTTGCAGATAATTCTGAATCGTTAAATCGCGCGGTGGCTTGCGTTTGGTGTTGACACATCGTCTCTCCGTGTTACAGGCATCATGGCCGGCTCCAATCGCTCGGGGGATTTGAAGGACGCTCAGAAGTCCATTCCCATCGGGACCATAATGGCAATCGCCACCACCTCCACTGTGTGTATCCTCTCCGAAGCCAAAGGCGTTTCTCTATAAACACACGGTCCTGACCAGGATGTCGCTTCTGTCTGAGACCCACATGGGACCCAATTAGTTTTTCGCAGGGAAGCCCACGTGTGTCCAACACACCATTTGTTTTCTGCGCAAGTGAGGTCACCTTAGGGGTTCCCTGTCAGTGGAGTTCAGTGCAATGGAGACATGGGTGTGAACATGAGAGTTTAACAGTTAATGTGGTCCAACACATCATGGCATATACCGCTGTCACCAATTACCCACCCATAGCCAGTGCAGTACATACACATGGCGTAACTGTCATTTTTACAGTTGTTCACATAGCCAAACTTTTCACTTATCCTCCTATACATCAGTCCCCAGCAAGTCGGATATGCAATATTGTACCATGCCTATATTATATAATGTGTATGTGGAACTTCTTTCGTACCGTACGTAGCCAACCATGCTGCTCGATGTAATTCGAGTAAAGCTGAAAATGCTGATGGGTCATTAAACAAAATAGAAATGTAGATGTTTAGAACATTTTCAAATCAATGAAGGCTTGCTATGTATTATGCATGTGCGTGTGTTCTCTACTGCTATGGGGGAGCAGTAGTGTAGCGGTTCGCGCGCTGTGCTATGAACCCGGTGACCGGAGTTCGATTCCCGCTCACGGTCCTGGGCCTTCCCTAGGTCGACTCGGCCTTAAATGAGTACCTGGTGCAAGTGTGTAAACATCGCCGCTGAGGAGACAAAGGCGGCCGGGCGTAGTGCTGGCCACCCACCCCCTCGTGTGCTGTGCTGACCAGCACTTGCCTCAACACTGTTGAAGGCTATCTGGGGTGCTTTGTCTTCGTTTCTTTGTGCTGTGTATGCAAATGTTTAACTATCTTTTGCATTATATCCTGCTGAGAGCAAATATTTGACCTTAGGATAATGATAATTAGATTCCTGTGTGCAGGCTCTCATTATACTTTCAAATGGGAATATTTGTATTTTTCTGTCTAATTTCATAGGAAATTTCAATATTGATTTCGGACTGGATAAGTATTTGCCTTGCTCGATCAAGAAACATCGACTCTGATCGATGATGTCCTCAATAGTGCTGTTTGTTGCTGGTCATTTGGCATTTTGTGGGCCCTGTGCGCTGCAAGCTTTGATTAGATGTTTTTACAATTACTTGTTTATTTTTCGATTTAAAGCTTTCGTGACTGCAGGGATTCATCTTCTTGGTTCTTTCGGTAAAGTCACGTAGAAGGGATATAATAAAATAATAAAAATAAAACATATAATTTTTTTTTATAAAATATAACTTAATAAAATGTTCTATTTGTACTAGCTGTACTACCCGGCTTCGCCCGGGACTTGTATCCACCACGCCCAGCCGCCTTTGTCTCCCCAGTGGCGATGTTAATACGCCACACCAGTTACTCGTTTTGAGGCTGAGTCCCTCCCTCAGCACTCTCCCTCCCTCACCACTCTCCCTCCCTCACCACTCTCCCTCCCTCACCACTCTGTAGAGGACGTGAAACTTTGATGAATTTACCTCAGAGTCGCGTGGTGGGTGTCGAGGCCTAGCACCGTGCAGAGCCTCCGGCCTCGCCTGATTTTCCCACCCGGCTGAGGCTGGGTACGGGTGCCGTTCCCCCCCCCCCCCCCCCCCCCCGCGCGACAACAATACTGTCTAATCGCTATAATTTTATAATCGACCGACCCTATAATAGTAATTGCACACATTGTGGTGGGGGGGGGGGGGGAGTGAAGAGGACGTGAAACTTTGATGAACTTACCTCAGAGTCGCGTGTTAATGCGTGCGCCTATTTTTAACGGGAATTAAAAATGGCGTCCACCCCGCGGCGAAGGCGTCGCTACCCGTTGCCAGGGGCAACCGCCGTCCAATGAAAGCGGCGAAGGCGTCGCTACCCGTTGCCAGGGGCAACCGCCTGTCCAATGAGAGCGGCGAAGGCGTCGCTACCCGTTGCCAGGGGCAACCGCCGTCCAATGACACTGCGTATGGTCCGATACACAGACACACACACAGACAGACAGATTCGCGATTTTATATATATAGATTCTTTAATTATTTCCTTTCTACGTGACTTTACCGAAAGAACCAAGAAGATGAATCCTTGCAGTCACGAAAGCTTTAAATAGAAACATACAAACGAAACCTAAGCCATCCCCATCTTTCCAGGCAAAGCTATTTTCTGAAACGTTACCTATGCTTTTAGTTTATTTTCAGGCCACGCAATCTTGCTGACGAATGTGTTTAATGTTTTTGATTGAAGAAAAAAAAGTATCTTGAAAATGTTGCATTTGTAAAGAGGTAATTTAAATGCACGTTTATAATTATGGTGCACATCTGCGATGTCTACGCCACTCGCTGTTAAATTGTAGGCACCTGAAATTAATTAATTTATAGACTAAATCAATTATTGCATTCCTGATGTGTTCATCAAATCACGACTCCTTTTAATGTGCGCACAATTTATGTGCACAAATTAAAACGTTTCTTGTGCACTGGAATAATTTTAAATTCATGAACACACAGACTTGATGCATGTTAATGCATGCCTAGTTTATATGAATTATGCGTGAATTTATGGGAGCAGCGGAAGAGTGATTACCGCGCTACATCATGAAACCAGCCTCCAAAATTTCGACTCCTGGCCACGGCTGACACTACGGTTCCTGAACCCCTCTTCACCAAACCACACTAACCAGCGTGGTGAAATATGGTCAAGCAGCCCCAATGACTGACACAATGTATGTCGGGAGGCCTTCATCCAGCAGTGGATTGACAAATGACTGCAAAATTTCTGTAAATGTATCTATAGGCTAGTCAAAGTAACAACACAAACCATGAGCCACAGTTCAAACCGTTCAGTACAAACCAGACAAGTTTTGATTCTTGAGTAAAAACGTCACCATTTAATTACATTTACGGGGAGGTGAATTGTTACATGTGTATGAGACTAGCCGTACATTGGTTATAGTATACTGATGATTCAGTTTAACACGTAGGCTTTCGCGACCAATGTTATTCATAATCAACGTTTTTGGGTTTAGATCGCGTTTATTTATAAATGTGTCGTAACCCTCCACCACCCGACACGGCCAATCAGTAAAAATGTGTCACGTTGACAATGACAAATAGTTCACTGCTTTAGCCCACCGGTGTGTTGAAGCCACAACATTTACTCAAATTGTAAATGTTGTGGCTTCAACACACCGGTGGGCTAAAGCAGTGAACTATTTGTCTTTGTCAACGTGACACATTTTTACTGATTGGCCGTGTCGGGTGGTGGAGGGTTACGACACATTTATAAATAAACGCGATCTAAACCCAAAAACGTTGATTATGGATACTGATGATTCCTAAAAAGGGGTGAAGCCGGTGTGCATCACCTTGTTCTGCTGCTGTTGAAAAGAATGCGGCCACAATTTCGTTTTGAGTTGGTGACATAAAACAAGCGGCCTGTGTGTACGTGATACGCATATTACGGGGGATACCACGTGACATGCAAGGCATGATGGGAGGATTGATCGTATGGTCAACACCGCACCTTTTTGCTGTCCATAAATCACGTTTTGCGTTGTATATTAATTTGTTTTCTCTCCCGATGAGTATTTCTTTTAATCGCCAAAAGTCAACGTTGGTTTCTTTTCCAGTTGCCTTCTGTATGACACGTAGGCTTCCGCGACAAATGTTATCTATAATAGAGATTTTTTTTGGGTGAGATTGCGTGAATATGAATCTACTCGAATTGTAAATGTGTTGTGGGTTTGCTCTCCAACACACCGGTGTGCTGTACTAGCAACGATTTGGCACGTTTTGTTTTACGTGACAAACCTTACTAATTGGCTGTGTCGGGTGGTGGCGGGTTTAACGCCACATTTTGTTTTACGCGATCTAACCCAAAACCACCTCTAGTACGAATTGCCGTCTGTAGCTTTTTAAATGGGTTCGCAGTCCTTCACTGACACGCGTGGCTCAGATCTCACCAGCGTCATTCTGTTCGGAGCCTGCGTCGAGGGAGTCGTCTTAAGGGACAAGTAAGTAATTCAAATTTTACATTCAGCTGTAAATTTTGTTTGCATTCAAAAATAAATGAGTACGTTTCACACGTAGGCTTTCGCGACCAATATCCATAATAACGTTTTTTTGGGGTTTGATCGCGTAAATATATTTCGCGTAAATATATTTAAATATATTTCGCGTAAATATATTTAAATATATTTAGATCGCGTAAATATGTTTAAAAATATTTACGCGATCTAACACAAAAAATGGATAAATGAGTACGTAAAATGTTGCACTCTTCGTTGTGATGTTAATATTTTTTTGACCGTACAGAACCACATTATGGTCTGGATGTCTGGCATTAATCAAATAGAAATATTAAGGGACTCCATTGTCAGTAATATACATACGTTGAAAAACGAATGAATCATATCACAGCCTTTTTAAAGAATATAAATAAAAAATAGGTTTTTTTTCTTCCAAAATTATCATTGTTAAAAGTAGGAAGTGGTCATGTTAATACTTTTTTTTTCATTTCACTTGGGATAAGTATGTATGTTGAACTCGCTGTACCTAGCCAACCGGGCTAATCGAAAGTGCGATAAAACCTTGACAACTTGTTGTCGAGACGACCCTAAGATTGAGATTATTAAGTCAGAGATCACAAGCACACAGTGTGTGCTTCCATGAACACGTTGGATACAGTTGACCTATAAACCACACGTCTCTTCCTGCATTAGCAAATTAACGTCTGATAGATCCAAAGTGGACACATGGAACCACCTGAATTGCATTCATGAGATACAAATCAGTTTGAGACTTTAGAACTGTCTGAGCCTCGAGTATTTACCATTAAGCCCGAAGAGTGCTGATTTTATTATGAATTAGTTTTTTGTTCAACTCATTTTAAAAAAAACGTGGTTTGACAGGCAAATTTTTATTACTTTTACCCAGAATTTCCTCACTGAGTCTCAAGTATCTTCTTTAGAAGGACCCTGCCAGGCTTTTGCAGTAGCGGGTGATGTTGCTGCCGTGTCATTTTCAAGGAATTTTCATCATTGGGATGTTTGGCCAATACCAATTCCGTTGGATTTTTTTAAGCTATGGAAGGAAACCAGAGAGCCCGGAGTAAACCCATGCAGAACAGAGGGAGAGAACATTCCGATTGCCGAACAAATACGTGATAAGGTCGCACTTATTACACACAAAGTTCTTGCTTCAAATGAGCCACAATACCTTGCTGATGTCGTCAAGAAGCATAAACCATCACGCAAACTCGGTCATCCTCGCAGCGGCTTTTGGCAGGCCGTCGACCAAAGACGGTCACTGCATCGCGCGCTTTCAGATGCGTTTCTGCGGCCGTCTGGAACGCTCTTGCGATGTTAGGAAGTCACTGGAGCTACGCTTAAATCTAGATTGAAAACTGGTTTCTGTAGAACTGCTTGTATTTAGTCCGTTGTCCTTCCCTCGCATCTCCAATTAGCACGGTTGGCTACGTACGGTGCGACAAAAGTTCAACATACATACGTAACTCCACGCAGAAGTGCACCCGAGTCAGGAATCAAGCTCAGGGGCCCTTGCGGTGAGGCACACGCGTTACCGCTGTGCCCACCGTGCCACCATTTTTTCCGCGTGATTCACAAAGCCGTGCGGCCATTGGTGGCGCAGGTTTGGCGAGGCCGTGAGGGGGAACCTGGTGGTTGGTACCCTCGCGTGGCCTTCGCCGTGGGTCATCGTCATCGGATCGTTCTTCTCCACGTGCGGCGCGGGCCTCCAGAGCCTGACGGGGGCGCCCCGTCTGCTGCAGGCCATCGCTAAGGACAACATCATCCCCTTCCTGCAGGTGTTCATTGTCATGATGATTGCCGCCATCATCGTGGTCGTCATCTTCACAATGATCATTATCGTCGCGAGTATCGTAATTGTCAACGTTGTCAACGTCATCGTCATAGTCGTCAAAATGTGAATATCATCATCTCTATTTAAAGCTTTCGTGACTGCAGGGATTCATCTTCTCGGTTCTTTCAGTAAAGTCACGTAGAAGGGAAATAATAAAATAATAAAAATAAAACATAATAAAATAATTCTCACGACGTTTCGGCTACAACGCAAGCAGCCGTCCTCAGGTGAAGAAAGAACCAAGAAGATGAATATCGTCATCGTTATCAATATCATAATAAGAATTGTCAAGATCGCCACGAATATCGTAATTGTTAACATTGTCAACGTCATAATCATAGTCAACACCGTCGTCGTCACTCATAACCTTCATCATCGTCGTTATCAATGTCAGCAGCATGATGTTGGTATTGCTGGCATTAGAGAATTTGCGAAATACGAGTAATCTGGCAGAGCCTGCGACCATCACGCCTCCTCTATGGCTCCCTCGATCGCTCACCTGCTCCAACGTCGTCTCTCAGAGTTATTCGTGAACAAAACCGTCCGATAGCTATTTTGAATAATTTCCCAAACCCTTTAATTGCTCGCCATAGCGGGCAGTATACCGGATCGGGTGTGCCAGGTGCAGAAATATTTTCAGGGTCACTGACCCGAAAATATGACCCTTAGTGGTCACCCATCCAAACACTGCGGCAGGCTCAACTTTGCTCAGCTTCTGAGATCTGATAAGACCAGGTGAATTCGGGTGATTTGGTACTAAAACTACGAACTAAAACTAAACTAGTTTTATTTTACCAGGTAAGGCCCACTGAGCTATATAGCTCTTTTTGAGAAACGACCTGGCTACTGCAAATGACAGCTCAACGTAATGGCTTATCATCATGTGGTAATTTATCGCAGCGAAATACTTTAAACGCATGTTTCTAAAAGTCGAGGGAAAAACCGGAGGAACCGGAGAAAAATCCATGCGGTGAGACAATTCCAAATATACAGGCGTCTGTGTCTAGTCAATCCCACAACCTCCTGTATACCAGGCGAGGTAGTTAACATCTCGTCACCGTGGCAAGGTGTCTTGTTCCATACCCAACGTTATCCTATTGCGTTTTCCTTTTCAGGTTTTCGGCCATGGCAAAGCCAATGGGGAGCCCACGTGGGCACTGCTGCTCACGGCCGGAATCGCCGAGCTCGGCATTCTCATCGCGTCGCTCGACATGGTGGCGCCCATCCTCTCCATGTACGGAGGACGCCCCAGCTCTACGCTTACGCGTGTGCGGCAGTGGTTGTTTGTGTGTGTGTGTCGTGTCTGTGGGTGCGATCGGGTGCGTGTGAATGTGTTGGTGCGATGGGGTATGTGTGTGGGTGCGATTGGATACGTGTGTGTGTGTGGGAATTGGGTATGTGTGCATATGCGTGTGTGTGTGGTAGCGATCGGGTATGTGTGCGTGTGTGTGTGGTAGCAATCGGGTATGTGTGTGTGTGTGATGTGTGTGTGGGTGCAGTTGGGGTATGTGTGTGGGTATGATTGGGTATGTGTGTTGTGTGTGGGTGCGATCAGGCATGTATTGCATGTGGGTGTGATCGGGTGTGTGTGTGTTGTTCAGAAGAAGAGCTACTCCCTGTTGTTTGGCAATCTCCTGCCCCGAGTAGAGTACTGTCCACCCCTCATGGTGGCAGGAGCCAGAGCTGGTCCACTGGACCTCCTGAATACGGCAGAGATCCAGGCGGTACCAGTCCAGCTCCCGACAGAGGAGTGGCAGCCTCTCCTCCCCAGTGAGGGTTCGAACATTCCACGTTGCCACCCGGAGTGGTTTTTATCTGTTTCTGGAGGAGCCCCGAGGGTAAGGATTCAGTCTCCTGGCTCCGCCAAATGGGGTTTGGCCAGGAGGCATCATAGATGCCTGTCCCCCTGGGGCCTCCAGCACAAGCTTATTAAGTACATTTTTCAGTCGTGGTTTCGTATTAATTAATTGAAATTGAAGGTGGAGGGGTTACCAGCCCTTAGCACCCATCCAGATCCCCCGTTGGCCGCTGTGGTGGTTACAAACATCATGAGGGGATTGGCCAATCTAATAGGCCCTCCCCACGGCACCTTCCGCCACAGCGTTGCCGTCTGGCACCAACGAGTTTTTGCCGGATAGAATGAAGGGGGCGTGGGAGCATGGCGGTGAGGTGTCGTAAGTTGTAAGCCCCAGGCTACTTTGGGCTCGCCTTCCCATCAACCAGAGGCGAGGAGTGGTGGTCATGGTTATTTATGCCTCCACCGAAGATGAACATCCGTGGAGGGATGCAGGCAAGGCCGATGAGTCAGATGCCTTCACAGGTTCTAGCTAAAGCGGCCCCTCAGGATAGAGTAATCATGTTGGGTTACTTCAATGCCCGAGTTGGTCATGATGCTGGCACCTGGTCTGGAGTGATTGGAAGGCATGGGCTAGATCAGCTCAATAACAACGGCAGGAGGCTGCTAGATTTTTGTGCAGCCCATGGGCTTGTAATTACCAACACGCTGTTCCGGCATCGGCACATCCACATAACATCATGGATGCATGCCGGGTCTAAGCAAGAACATCTGCTGGACTACATAGTGACAGAACAGCAGATGCGGGCCCATGTCCTTGACACGAGGACCTACTGTGGAGCTGATCTGCCCACTGACCATCGACTTGTCATCTGTAAGATGCACCTGCCATTCTTCCCTCCGGTGGTGGGTGTACACCCAGTACCCCATTCAAACCCATAGTGGCATGTTCTCAGCTAGCTGATGAACGTTGCAAGCGAGAATTCCATCATTGCTTGTGGCTGGGGTTGGCATCATCCCCCATTCCTCCAGATGTCGAGGGGAAATGGGCGAGATTTAGGACTGTGGCTCATTCAGTTGCAATGGCTGCTTTGGGAGACCCTGGCTGACAGAGGTGTTCAGGCTGGCTGAGAAAAAGCGACAGGCTCACTCATCAGCGACAGCATCCCACGTCGGAGAATGAGGAGGCTTACCGCACCCTTCGCTCGGAGGTTCGGAGAGTCGTGAGGCGCTGCAAGGATGGGTGGTGGTCGCGGATTGCTGAGGAGATGGAGTCTGCCTCAATGGCCCACGATCACAAATCGCTCTTTAATGCCATCAAAAATGTAACCTGCAGCGCCATACCCATTACCATCATTAGGGGAAAGAACGGTGATCCAATTTCCGACCCCCAGGAACAGGTTTGCAGATTTGCTGAGCATTTCTGTGAGGTCATGTGGGAGGGGAAATCCCTCAGCCTGGAAAACAACGTGGGACAAAGTGGGGATGACCCTGCTGAGGCTGCGGTGCCCCTGTGAGTGGCTGGCTGAGGTGCCATCTGTTAAAGAAGTACTGAAGGCGATCCGGAGTCTGAGACCAGGAAAGGCACCGGGCAGAGATGATCTCCCAAGCGAAATGCTGAGGGATGGTGGCGTTTGTGCATAGACTGCCCTATATGACATCATAACAACAATCTGGACAACTGCAGGATTGGAAGGATGCCCTGGTGGTCCCCCTCTTTAAGAAGCGGGACCACACAGATTGTCACAACTACAGGGGCATCTCACTCCACAGTGTGCCGGAAAAGGTCCTGGCAAGGATTATTCAACATCGCCTTGCTAGGCACGCTGAGGAGAGGCTTGCGGAGCCCCAATGCGGTTTCAGGAAAGGGTGGTCCTGCACAGATGCCATATTTTTTGTCCGTCTCCTACAGCAGAGGTGTAGGGAATTCCAACAAGACCTACATCTCTGCTTTTTTGACCTGGTCAAGGCCTATGATACCATCAGTAGGCCTGGGTTCTGGGTTGTTCTTCATGCTTTCGGAGTCCCTGACCCTCTGCTCACAATCAGTAAGGACCTTCATGAGTGTGAGCGGGGCCGGGTAACACTACGTGGCCGGGAGTCGGAGTTATTCCCTGTACACCTTGGGGTGCGACAGGGATGTCCTCTGGCTCCCAAATTATTTAACATATATTTCGACCACGTAGTTCGTAAAGCCTTCAGTAGCTCTACCGGAGAATTTTCCATCTGGTACAGATACAGTGGGAGGCTGATCGATGCCCGGGTGCGGTCAAGGGATGTCTCCCTATTGCTCAACCATGTTACGTATGCCAATGATCTGTTAATTGCTGTTCACTCGGAGGAGGATTTGGAGGTGCTGCTGCTAAACCTGGAGCTTGCTAGTAAGAGGTGGGGCCTTAGCCATCAGCCCCACCAAAACTAAGCACCTGCCTGGATATTTTGTACCATCGGACACTCCACCCCCACAACTCCCAATTGGTGATGGGGCAGTTGTGGAGAGAGTGGAGAGTTTCCCATACCTGGGCAGTGTGCTCATGACCGGCTCTGGTTTGACAGCAGAGGTCTCACTCCGAATCAGTCGAGCAGCATTATCTTTTCAACGGTTGCGTAACGCTGTGTGGAAACTACCTGGTCTGTGACTCCACAGGAAGCTTTAGGTCTTCTCGGCCACAGTCATTCCCTCCCTTCTCTACGCTTGCGAAACGTGGACCCCCCTAATGGAACATCTTCGCCGGTTATAAACATTTAGGCTGGCCTGCCTACGGTCCATCCTGGGTTTAACCAGGCTGGATTGTGTGAGGAGCTCACAAATCCTTGGTATCAGAGTATGCTTTTGTTTGCATTATGACCACAAGTATTGTGGTTAATGCACACATAATTCCCCGTAAAAGGTTTCAGTTTGGTGTTTTAACATCTTAACACGGCTGTTTTGTTGCCAGAAAAAAGGGGAAAACCTATTCTCATAAAGCACAGCAAGTTGGCACAGTAGGGGGCACAGGTTGTGCATCAGCCACTCATCTCAGTCGACCCGTGGCACCTGGGTCTGTCCCGTGATCTCGTGCCAGCGGGCGTTATAGCCTGGCACAAGCGTCGTGGTGACGTCACCGCCACTTAGTGACGAATGGCGGTTGTTGTGTGTGTTGTGAGTGTGGAAAGTGGTAGTGTAGCGGTTAGCGCGCTGCGCTACAAACCTGGTGACCCGAGTTCAGTTGCCGCTCATGGCCAACACTGTTGACGATTATCTGAACCTGGCCCTAGGCCTCCCCTAGGTCGACTCAGCCTCAAATGAGTACCTGGTGCTATGTGAAATGATCCCTACAAGGGAGACAAAAGCGGCCGGGCGTGATGATGGCCACCCACCCCCTCGTGTGCCGCAACAGTCTGATAAGGCTATACGAGGGATCTTTGTCTATACTGTGCGCAAACAGCCAATCCACTGCTGGATGATCACCTCTCCCCATGTCACTTCAGTTGTGCAGGTTTGTTTAATCATACTTCACCAAGGTGGTCAGCGCAGGTTGGTGAAGGGGGCGGGGCGATGTGTGTGTGTGTTGTGCACTGGCTGTGTGTGTGTGTTGTGCACTGGTGTGATCACAACAACGAGCAGAGCACCGGGCAGCTAAAACACATTGACATAGTAGGGGGCACAGGTGGTGCATCAGCCAGTCGTCTCATTCAGTCAACCCATGGCACCTGGGTCTGTCCCGTGACACTTCACGTGGCCTTAAAGTGCACATAGCCTGGCACAAGTGCCGTGGTGATGTCACCGATACTTAGTGGCGAATGGCGGTTGTTGTTGGTATGTGTGTTGTGCACTGGTGTGTGTGTGTTGTGCAGGTTCTTCCTCATGTGCTACATGTTTGTGAACCTGGCCTGCGCCGTGCAGACTCTCCTTCGAACCCCAAATTGGCGGCCGCGCTTCAAGTACTACCACTGGTGAGGCAGGCGTGAGTGCGGGAGGTTGAATCAGAGGAACCAAATCCATCCAGGATAACGGCTCATGCAGTATGCGACCACACATCAGAGCCGCTCTATTGATCCTGGAACGCGATTTCTGGCCCATTGAGCCCACCTGCTGAAAACAGAATATTATTGAGGTCCAAAACCACACGATGGCGTCGCCGCGGTGGCAAGATGTTATCTCCCTCGCCTGGTATGCAGGAGGTCGAGGGTTCGATCCCGAGCCTGGCGCCTGCTGGATTTTTGGAGTTTGCGTGTCTCTTTCCCCGTGGTCACGTGGATCTTTTCTCCGGGTCCTCCGGTTTTTCTCTCCACGTTTATAAACGCGCGTTTAGAGTATTTGGCTGCGATAAATTCTCACATATGGTAAGCCACTTCGTTGAGGCTATCATTTGTGGCCAGGTGGCTTCTTAACAATAATAGTCGGCTTTACTTAGTATAATTAAAATAAAACGACATGATCGTCACCGTGTATGTGTGCTTTTTTGGGGTTTTCTTTTCTTTCCAGGGCCCTCTCCTTCCTGGGCATGAGCATCTGCCTGGCGCTCATGTTCATCTCGTCGTGGTACTACGCCATCGTGGCCATGGTCATCGCCGGGATGATCTACAAGTACATCGAGTACCGCGGGTGAGTGACGCGTCACCCGGACTCGCATGAGACGCAACCCTGTTGAGAGTGCAAAGGGGCGTGACGGAAAAAAACTCCTCTGGCCCGGACCTGAGTAGGCCGGAATTTGGCGTTGGTCTTAAAGGCTGACGACACGTATACAAGTAAAATGAAAAATGCTGCTTGCAGGAAAATTGTATTGAGCGTTAATTAAATAGGTGAGGTGTAGGTTACGTGTAAATGCAGTTTAAATGTAGGTAATACGGACTAATTAACTGTTTGGAATATAAACGACTTGTTTTCTTAATAATTAATTCGTACTGCAAATGCATTAGATTGGTGTTGGCTGTCTCATGGTTTTCATTTAGCTGCCAAAACAACATTGAGCCACAGCTTTTTGCGGTAATTTCAAGGGTCACCTCCGAAACCCAATCCCACCGGTCAAAAGAACGGAGCGGAGTCACCAAGGGATTTACATTTCCTGTGATGTGCCGACTCCGACAACCCCCACGAACGACACGGCACAGGAAGGCTGCCTCATCCAGTGGGCACTGACAAAGGTCTACACATCATCATTCTTAATTTAAAAGGTTATTGGCTCAAGTCCATATCAATGTAATAATTCACACCCACATCCATTTGTCAACGTTGAGATTTATAAGGAGCACGGGGTGACCAATAAGGTCTGAATTGGTGTGTAATAAGGTAGGGCACTGATAAGGGGTTGACAGGTTTGCACCTTGGTGATTGTAATTGTTGCCTGCTGGAGTTAACCAGACAAGAGAATGACTACATGAAAGCCACGGAAGAAGTTCACCGAGATTCAACTGGTTGAATCTACGACTCGTGTGACAAATTCTAACCGATGTAATACTTGCCACCAACCATTGATTAACAGCATCGTTAACTTTTTTTGGCCTGGAGGAATCCGATGAGCTATGAAACTCTTTTTGCACAGTGAGTTGTAACAACAAACAGTACAAAAACACTGATTGGAATGAAAGGTATAGGAAAGGTAAACAAATCGCTCAACAAAAATATATAAATAAAATACAACTAAATAACACGTGGCCATGCTACTACTGCGCTGCCAGCGGCACCAATAACAAAAACTAAACCTCATAACGCTGCATTGAAATAAAATAAAAACATACATAGTAGGCGACGTTTCGGGCAGTGGTCCTTTTTCATGTTTTGAGGTGTTGTCATGCCAGCTGCAAAGCACTGAATTTGCAGGCGTTCGCCACCACGCCAGGGAATCGCCAAGCGCTGTCATCTACACAACGTATCACCGTTTCCACCCACTTCTAATATCGTGCCCGGTCGTTCGTTCAGTTCTTCTGACCTGAGCGGTCTGTCTATCTGACTGGCTGTTTGTCCGCGTTACCAGTGCGGAGAAGGAGTGGGGAGACGGAATCCGGGGCCTGTCGCTCAGCGCGGCGCGATACGCCCTCCTGCGACTGGAGGAGGGCCCTCCGCACACCAAGAACTGGAGGTGAACTCGGCACGAAAGCGATGCCCCTCGCGGCGACGAGCGGACTGCGGCCGACGTAAACAAATCAACATCTCGCACACCACCCTACCGTCGAACCTCCCGGCTTCAACATTCCACGCCGCCAACAGTCGTCCATCAAACGAATCGGGACCAGGAGGCGTGGCGGATGCGGCCAGCTGATGCACAAATGGGGCGCATCGAAGATTCGGCGACCTGCGAGTGTGCGGCCGCGAATCCCAAAACACCGACCGCATCGTAAACACGCCGCCGCCGCTGTCTTTGCTCCTTAAAAGGAGGAATGGACGAGGTCCACTCCGCTTCTGAACAAACAATTGAGTGGATGAATCTAAAATGGCATATTTAATCTACTGTTATTAATCCATACGAAAGATGAAGAACAACAACGAGCGGAAGCGCCGAGGGCGGCTAAAATGCAGCGAGTTGGCACGGTGGGGCGCTCAGGTGGTGCGTCTGGCAGCTATCTCAGTCACTCGACCCGTGGTACCTGGGTCTGTCCCGTGACCTCCTGCCGGCGAGCGTTCGACACTTCACTTGGCTTCAGAGTACCCCTAGACTGACGCAATGCCCGTGGTGAATTTACTATCACGTGGTGGATAACGGTGAATGTTATTGCGTGACGTTTGGAATGTGTTCACATTGGATAGGTCTGCTGCTGTGCGCGCGCTTGTGTGTGCGTGCGCGCGCGAATGTCAGAATGTATTCTCATTGCGTAGGGCTATTGTGTTCGAAGGTCAGAGGGCACAGGTACAAGGCTGCTGTTTGTTTTTTGACGACGGTATTTCACGGTCCATCAAATCATCGTGCGCATGCGCGCGTGGGTATCCACTTGCAACTCCCATTAGCACGGTTGGCTACGTACGGTGCGAAAGAAGTTCAACACACGTACATACAGAGCTCTAAGGCCACTACTGGCAAAGGAGGACTAAGCCAAGGCAGGAAAATCGGCGAGGCCTTGGCCCAGCAGTGGAAGGTTGCAGACCGGCAGCATCGTTCATTATACCCGCTGTGCTTATAATGTCAAGGGTTTGTTCATGAAATCTTTAACTTCGTTTCGCACAACAACTGTACGCTCGGTAGGCCGCAGGTCCTCGTTCTGCTCAAGCTGGGCGAGGGCATGGAGGTGAGGGCTCCACGCCTCCTCAGCTTCGCGTCGCAGCTCAAGGCCGGCAAGGGCCTCACCATCGTGGGCTCCGTGCTGCACGGAGACTTCCTCATTAGCTGTGCCGAGGCCCAGGCAGCGGAGCAGGTAACGCAGAACCCCTCTTAACGACGGTAATTGGTTCCACGAAACCGGCCGTGAAGTGCTTACGCCGTTAAGCGATTAGTCGCTAACAAAGAATGGTCGTTAAGAGGGGTTCTAATTACGTTGACCCTGACACGGCCTGCTGCTGCTGCACATTTGGAGTTTGCGCATCTCTCCCTCTCTCCCCGTGGCCGCGTGGACTTTTTCTCCGGATCCCCCGCCCTCATTTGTCCCTCATTTAGAATCAACGTCGCGCGTTAACACCCCGAGACTCATTTGGTAAAGGACCCCAATGCCCCCGTGGATGCCCTGAACCTCGTTAGTGGTGATGATGATGATGGTTTTGGTGACGATGATGATGATGATGATAGATATACTCTTTGGTTCTTTTGGTAACGTCACGTAGGTATAAAATAAAATAAATCACGATGTTTCCGGCGCAGCACAAGCGTCCGTCATCAGGTGTGAAAGCGTGGTCTGCTGCTGAGGCAGACTGTTTTAAAAGGTTTAAAATGGTTGTAGCCCAAGGGTCATAAAGAAGTGGGCTGGGCTAGTGATGATAACGTGAGAAATTAGCATGTAACTGTAAGATAGGAGGAGAGCGGCCTCCTCGACGAGGGCACGGAAGTGAGAATCAAGATTGATGATGGCTGTGGTAGCGGTCGGGATGTTGGAGATGACGACGACGACGAGGGCGGTGATGGATATGTCGACGATGTTCGTTCTCGACGTTTGCCATCCCCTCAGTCCATCAAGAGGCTGGTGGAGATCGAGAAGGTGAAGGGCTTCTACCAGGTGGTGGTCTCTCCACGCGTGCGCGACGGCATCTCTCACCTCATCCAGTCGTGCGGCCTCGGGGGCATGAAGCCCAACACCGTGGTCATGGGCTGGCCGTACGGCTGGCGGCAGAGCGAGGACCCTCGCTCGTGGAAGACCTTCATCGGTGGGTGCATTGGAGCGAGCGCGTTGAAGCGAGCTGGAGAGAGTGGGGTGGAGTGGGGTGGAGCGAGTGTGGATGGAGCGAGCGCGTTGAAGCGAGCTGGAGAGAGTGGGGTGGAGTGTGGTGGAGCGAGTGGGGATGGAGCGAGCGCGTTGAAGCGAGCGCCGTGGGCTGGAGAGAGTGAGGTGGAGTGTGGTGGAGCGAGTGTGGATGGAGCGAGCGCATTGAAGCGAGCGTGGTGGGCTGGAGAGAGTGAGGTGGAGTGGGGTGGAGTGAGTGGGGATTGAGCGAGCTTTGTGGAGCGAGCGTGCTGGGCTGGAGAGAGTGGGGTGGAGTCGGGTGGAGTGGGGTGGAGCGAGTGGGGATGGAGCAAGCTTTGTGGAGCGAGCGTGGTGGGCTAGAGAGAGTGGGGTGGAGTGGGGTGGAGTGAGTGGAGATGAAGCGAGCTTTGTGGAGAGAGCGTAGTGGGCTGGAAAGAGTGGGGTGGAGTGGGGTGGAGCGAGTGGGGATGGAGCGAGCGCGTTGAAGCGAGCTGGAGAGAGTGGGGTGGAGTGGGGTGGAGCGAGTGGGGATCGAGCGAGCTTTGTGGAGCGAGCGTGGTGGGCTGGAGAGAGTGGGGTGGAGTGGGGTGGAGCGAGTGGGGATGGAGCGAGCGCGTTGAAGCGAGCTGGAGAGAGTGGGGTGGAGTGGGGTGGAGCGAGTGGGGATGGAGCAAGCTTTGTGGAGCGAGCGTGGTGGGCTGGAGAGAGTGGGGTGGAGTGGGGTGGAGTGAGTGGGGATCGAGCGAGCTTTGTGGAGCGAGCATGGTGGGCTGGAGTGGGGTGGAGTGGGGTGGAGCGAGTGGGGATGGAGCGAGCTTTGTGGAGCGAGCGTGGTGGGCTAGAGAGAGTGGGGTGGAGTGGGGTGGAGCGAGTGGGGATCGAGCGAGCTTTGTGGAGCGAGCGCCGTGGGGTGGAGTGGGGTGGAGCGAGCGGCGAGCACGGTGGGGCGAGCGTGGTGGAGCTGCTGGTCACATCGCGAGGCTTAGTGATGGGAGATGTGGGGGTGGGTGTTTGGTTGTGATCTCCAAAGTCTGCTCCTTAGTGGCCCAGGTGGTGGTGTTTGTGATAGATTTGGTGGTGGTGGTGATAATGATTGTTGTGGCCAGAGTGATGATGGTGTTATCTACAAAGATAAGCATAATTGATTGCGAGGTCACTGATGGACATTCTTTCTCACTAGCCTCAAACAAAACCGTACACGTGAGAGACGGCAAAAACGAATAATCAATTCTTGATTAGCAGCGCAACCTCCCGAACTGCGGCAATTCATCAAACCGTGGCGAATCTTCGCAATGCCGGATTAGTATTTGGCACCCCCCCCCCCCCCACCTCCACCGCCAGCTGTGTGTCTCACAGAGGTCGCAAACGGGTTTTGATTCCTTACCCGTACCCGGCCGGGTACGGCTAGCTGGGTATGGGGAGGGTACGGGTATCGGGTACCCGATTGCGACCTCTGGGATGAAGCCATGTTGCAGGCGCGGGTAGGTTGATTCTAGGAACTGTAATTGTGAGAAAGAGACAAGACGTTGGGAAATGAGTGACAAACGGTGACTCACCAGTGACTCACGGCCTACCCGGACCCGTACCCGGCCGCACCAGGGTCGCAAACGGCTACCCGTACCCGGCTGGGTACGGGTAGCCGGGTATCGGGTAGGGTACGGGTATCGGGTACCCGATTGCGACCTCTGGGATGAAGCCATGTTGCAGGCGTGGGTGGGTTGATTCTAGGAACTTGAATTGTGCGAAGAGACAAGACGTTGGGAAATGAGTGACAAACGGTTACTCACCAGTGATTCACGGCCTACCCGTACCCGTACCCGGCCGCACCAGGTTCGCAAACGGTTACCCGATACCCGGCCGGGTACGGGTAGCCGGGTATCGGGTAGGGTACGGGTATCGGGTACCCGGTTGCGACCTTTGGTGTCTCACGGTTCCGCTTGCCGCCTGACGATCTCGCGCAGACACGGTGCGGGCCACGACGGCCGCCCACCGAGCGCTGCTCGTCGCCAAGAACGTGTCGCTGTTCCCCGCCAACTCGGAGCGCTTCGCCGAGGGCACCATCGACGTGTGGTGGATCGTGCACGACGGCGGCATGCTCATGCTGCTGCCCTTCCTCCTGCGCCAGCACAAGGTGACGCTGCTGGGAGGGGGCAGCCGGTGGGGGGGGGGGCAGCCAGGGTGGGGAGGGGGGCTAGCGCCAGTCGCACGTGTCCACGCAAAGTCTCAGGCGCAGCCCCTGCACGTTCGTGCGCATGCTCCGTAGCGCCGCCGATTTAGCACGGTTGGCTACGTACGGTGCGAAAGAAGTTCAACGTATGTATACGTAGCGGGCGACGGACGCATCGACGTGCATGCAGTACCGTATCGACGCACGAGCACACTTGCATGCACAGTCATACCGTGCATGCACGGTCACATGCCAAGTACGCACATATGCAAAGACAAAGATCCCCTGTATAGCCTTAACAGACTTTTGGTATAAGTGCTGTTAGCGAGTAGCACATATGAAGGTCGGCACGGCATACGAGTTTGTGGGTGGCCAGCACCACTCCCGGCCACCTTGGTCTCCCCAAGGGTGATGTTTACACATTGCGCCAAGTACCTAGTTGAGGCTGAGTCCATCTAGGGGAGGTCCAGGACCGGTTCAGCTAATTATCGTCACCGGCGTTGGCAGTGAGCGGGAATCGAACTCGGGTCGCCGGGTTTGTGGAGCGGCGTGCTAACCGCTACACCACCGCTCCCCACGTATTGCAGGCCAAAGGATGGAACGCTCCCGAGATTGCGTGCACCGTGGAGATGGAGCGTTGAAATCGGCTTGTGCGCCTGGTGCTAGGTGGATTGCAGGACCATGGGGGGGATGACGATGGCTGAACGACGACTGTTATTATTTATGCAGGTGTGGAGGAAGTGCAAAATGCGCATCTTCACCGTGGCGCAGCTCGAAGACAACAGCATTCAGATGAAGAAGGACCTGGCCATGTTCCTGTACCACCTGCGCATCGACGCCGAGGTGGAGGTGGTGGAGATGGTGAGGACCGCTTGCGCACACACAGACACACGCACCACCACCTGGAGATGGAGCAGACCACTCGATCGCACACGCGCACAGGTGCAGTTGCGCAGGTGGTGCTGCTGGTGAGATGATGGCGTCGATGATGATGATGATGCAAGTGTGACTAAGGTAGTGGTGGTGTGATGGTGGTGGTGGATGATCTTCATTTGGTGCTGGTGAGGGTGGTGACAGTTGTGGTGATTTCGAAGGTGGTGGTGGGTGGTGGTGGTGTTGATGGAGTTGAAACTTGCAGTGATTACGATGGTGGTAATCACGGGCATGATGATACGCTCGCACACCGATAGTGTGCACAAGTGCCGTTTGCACACGCGTGTAGTAGCAGCGCACGCGTGTAGTAGCAGCGCACGCGTGTAGTAGCAGCACACGAGTGTAGTAGCAGCACACGTGTGTAGTAGCAGCGCACGCGTGTAGTAGCAGCACACGAGTGTAGTAGCAGCACACGTGTGTAGTAGCAGCGCACGCATGTAGTAGCAGCACACGCGTGTAGTAGCAGCACACGAGAGTAGTAGCAGCACACGTGTGTAGTAGCAGCACACGTGTGTAGTAGCAGCGCACGCGTGTAGTAGCAGCACACACGTGTAGTAGCAGCACACGAGTGTAGTAGCAGCGCACAAGTGTAGTAGCACACGTGTGTAGTAGCAGCGCACGCGTGTAGTAGCAGCACACGCGTGTAGTAGCAGCACACGAGTGTAGTAGCAGCACACGCGTGTAGTAGCAGCACACGCATGTAGTAGCAGCACACGAGAGTAGTAGCAGCACACGTGTGTAGTAGCAGCACACGTGTGTAGTAGCAGCGCACGCGTGTAGTAGCAGCACACGCGTGTAGTAGCAGCACACGAGAGTAGTAGCAGCACACGTGTGTAGTAGCAGCACACGTGTGTAGTAGCAGCGCACGCGTGTAGTAGCAGCACACGCGTGTAGTAGCAGCACACGAGTGTAGTAGCAGCACACTTTTGTGTAGTAGCAGCGCACGAGTGTAGTAGCAGCACACGTGTGTAGTAGCAGCGCACGCGTGTAGTAGCAGCACACGTGTGTAGTAGCAGCACACGTGTGTAGTAGCAGCGCACGCGTGTAGTAGCAGCACACGCGTGTAGTAGCAGCACACGAGTGTAGTAGCAGCACACGTGTGTAGTAGCAGCGCACGCGTGTAGTAGCAGCACACGCGTGTAGTAGCAGCACACGAGTGTAGTAGCAGCACACGTGTGTAGTAGCAGCACACGCGTGTAGTAGCAGCACACACGTGTAGTAGCAGCACACGAGTGTAGTAGCAGCACACACGTTTTCGCACACATTTTGCGAACTTACATTCGCAACACACACCTCGAGACGCAACGCATTCATAGCCGTGCACAGAAACAGCCGAGTGCAACAACGCACGCAACAAAACACACGACAAAATATCATCGGAAAAGTTCCCTTGCTCAATGTGAGTACCTGCGATGGAGCGATGAGAATGCCTTCAAGTGAAAAACCATTGCCGTTTGAGTGTCCGTCGGGTTCATTCATTCATTCGGTCATTCGTTCGCTCGTCCTTCCGTCCGTCGCAGCACGACAGCGACATTTCTGCCTACACGTACGAGCGCACTCTGATGATGGAGCAGCGCTGCCAGATGCTCAAGCAGATGCGCCTGTCCAAGTGGGAACGCGAGCGAGAGGTAACGCACCCCGGCGGTTAGTGACATGGGGCCCGGCCGTACCCCACTCGCGCAGTGGGTCTCAGAGTGTGGTCCTCGGTAGCCACTGGTGGGTCTCAGAGTACGCTCCCCCGGCTTTCCAGGTGGCCCGCAGGGCTGTGTTGCAAACGCAGGTTGATCCGGACAATAATGACGAAGTTTATTATACCTTTTGTTTTTGGACGTTAATTCATATTTTTTACTTCTGATGTTTAAGAAAAAAATTGAGGTTATGTAAACTACCCTGATTAAACTACCCTAACTCTGACATCCAAATGCCTCTCTCTCCCCCCTCACCTAAAAAACACCGTGATGGATGCATAAAAAAAATTATGTTCTGGTAATGAGTGGTATTTGGAGAGAGAGAGGTGATTTGTCACCAGGGGTGGGCAGCTGCGTGGTCCGCGGGCCAACAAGGTTTCAGAAACACTGCCCTAGGTCGACAGGAACTCCCCGAAGAAGCTTCCAGCACGTGGGGCAAAACGTCGGACACCGTGCTGAACAATACGCGGTTACAACGTGTTCACATAAATATTTATATGTTCCCGCCGCCGCCGACAATGTCCGTGATGGCGACAGCGTTTGCTAACGTAAGCACTTTCAGACTGTGTGCAGCCAGAATTCAATGCCATCTCGAGTTGAAACAAACAAAATATACATAAATGCGCTGACGGTACGGAATTAAACTCTGGTTACGTGCGCAGTGGTTACAAGGTGCAACGTGTGCGACCATGCACACGTGTGTGTGTGTGTATGCACGGTGAGGTTTCTTTCATTCGGCGGGGAGTTGATCCAGCTGTGCCCGTATGTCCACGTCTTCCGACATTTGGAAGCTACTGGAGCCTTGCACGTTGAAATGTCGATTGAAAACTCCTTTTTGTGTTTAGTTTGTTGTCCTTCCCCCCCCCGCCCCGCACCTTTGATTAGCGCGGTTGGCTCCGTACGGTGCGGAAGAAGTTCAGCGTACACACGTACACGTCGAGTTTGGCGAGTGAGCTCGTGTGAGCCAGGGGCAGCCTCACGGTGAATACCTGAAATGACGGCAGCGGACGATGCAAGCGGGTGGCGGCGTGGGCCGCGGTTCGAGACCAGCGACCGCACTCGCACTGCAGAACGTTCCTGACGGCCACTTGCCGCGCGATGCGGCGAGAGTTGGTGACGCCGTGTAAACGCGCGCGTGCGTGCGTGTGCGTGCGTGTGCGTGCGTGTGCGTGCGTGCGCGTGCCCCGTCCCCCCGCTTTAGATCCAGAGCATCACAGACGTGTCGCGGGGATCGATCCGCGGCAAGCGGCGCCGTGGCGGCCCCGGCGGCGGCCCCGGCGCCAACGCGACGAGCGACACGGACGAGCACGGCACCACGACGGGGTCCGAACCGGTGTCGCCCGAGGAGGTGCGGTGCCGCTCCGTCGCTCGCTGCTCGGCAAGCGGCGCCGCTCGCCGCCGATTCCACGCTCACAGCTGTTCACCGTCCCTTGCTGAGGATAGACGCAACGGTCGACCGTTGCGACAAGCAATGAATCGATGGATTATTTTGAATGAAAAACCAGGTCTCGATTTAAAGCTTTCGTGACTGCAGGGATTCATCTTCTTGGTTCTTTCGGTAAAGTCACGTAGAAGGGAGGACGGCTGCTTGCGTTGTGGCCGAAACGTCGTGAGAATTGTATTTTATTATGTTTTATTTATATTATTTTATTATTTCTCTTCTATGTGACTTTACCGAAAGAACCAAGAAGAAGAAAACCCAGGTCGTGTGTGGTGGGGTAAAGATGTCTGGCCACGTGAAAGAGTTGGCGAAAAAAATCCCCTCCAGTGGGGGCTCTCGACCGCTCTCTTCAATAATAAACACAAAAATGTACATCTGGCGTTCGTGCCATTGTAGTGCAAGGTCGTTGCCAAGGTGCTTCGCTTCACATACAGAGCCAGTGGCGAGTGATGTTGCCTTGTGGTTTTTTTGCTTAGGTCACCCTTGTGAATGAGATTATCCTCGCCTCTGCGAGTTCTCGCCTTGTTAAACAGAATAACCTTGACATTTAATTACGAGCAAAAATTGCGCTGCTGCAACTTTACCTCTTACAAAAAAAAGTTTTATTCACCAGGTAAAGCCCAGTGAGCTGTGTAGCTCTTTTTTAAGAGCTGTGAAGCTCTGTTTCAAAAGCCACGTGGAAATGTAAAGCAGCCAAATAATATAAACACATTTTGATTTAAAGCTTTCGTGACTGCAGGGATTCGTATTCTTGGTTCTTTCGGTAAAGTCACGCAGAAGGGAAATAAAAAAATAAAAAATATAAAAAACAATACAAATTCTCACGACGTTGCGACTGCAACACAAGCAATCATCATCAGGTGCGAAATCCACATATACAAACACAGAGACAATTTCAACCGAGAAGATGGATTCTGGCTTAGCAATCATTGGAAGGATTTGATGAACCATTTCGGGTCTTAATTGATTGTGTTCACGCTTGCGGTGACTTTCAGACCGCATTCCATTTTCTGCTCCTCCCTCCTCTGTCCCGAACATAGATGGACTCGTCCATCTGGCCAACTGCCAAATCGCTGTCCGTGGTGCTGACGTTAAGAAAAAAAACGCCACTTTTTTCAAAATTTCTTGCTGTGGATTTCACACCTGATGATGATTGCTTGTGTTGCAGTCGAAACGTCGTGAGAATTTTTATTGTTTTATATTTTTGTTATTTTCCTTCTACGTGACTTTACTGAAAGAACCAATAATATAATCTAAACACATGTTACTAAACGTGGAGGCAAAAACCGGAGGACCCGGAGACAAGTCCACGTGACCACGGGGAGAGAGACACACAAACTCCAAATATACAGCAGGCATCCTCGGGGTCGGGATCACACACACGACCTCCTGCATACCAGGCGAGTCTCCCTGTCACAGGTTGAGTCACAAACCGCACCTCTCCATAACAAAGGCTCAGCCTTTGTTATGCAGTCTATTCTTAGTCTTAAGCCTCACCTTACCATATTAATAAAAAGTATGCGGCCCTTGCCCCACCACCTTCTTCAACCATTATATAAACGGAGTGGTAGCTACTGCAATCTCTCATTTACTTGATACAGCTGTCGTGGCTGTGACGGTACCACCTGAAGACGGAAGCTTGTGTTGCCTCCGAAACGTCGTGATTTTTATTTTATTTTACTTTTTAATGTTTTTACCTACGTGACTTTACCAAAAAAACCTAAGAATACGATAACATCTCGCCACTAATCCCCCCCCACCCCCGCCACACCCCGGGGCATGACCTCCAACAGGCCCAGCTGGTGAGGGACTCGAGCCGGCAGTCCCACTCCGAGAGCCTGTGCTCGTCGGAGGAGGAAGGAGGGTGTGGAAGCGGAGCCGGCACTTCCGGAGCCGGAGCCGCCGGAGCCGCCGCGGGCAATGAGCTTGTGTCTTCTCGCGCCGACGCCGTCACTGACGGTGACAAGATCCACATGACGTGGACCAAGGAGCGCGAGCAGCGTGGCCAAGCGCCGCCCAGCGCCAACACGCCCGAGGGCTTCCGTGACTTGCTCAGCATCAAGCCGTGAGTAGCGCGGGACACCGGAGTGGCGGCAGCGGTTTCGGTGGCTCCGGGTCGGTGTGCTGCATGAATTCATTCCGGGATTTTTTTTATTTTGTTTACCGACAAGACATTGTTGTTGGCAGACACGTGGTGTAGTATTTTTCGGCCCATCTGAACAGGTCCGGCCCTCCCTGTCCTCCATTACCAACTCGCACTCGCCAGAGTGCCCAAGCACGGTCAAAAAAACCCCATGACAGGCACGGGGGATTGAGAATGGGTGGCATTCAAAAGTATAATATTTTAATAGAAGTAAATATAGCAGCAAGAAACAACCTGAGATGCCCAGTCCATGAAAGGAGCCTACATTGTCCTGGGGGATTTCAACTGCGTAACGAGATGCGAGCCTGGGAACACACACACACACACACACGTGCACATAGACACGCCACCAGCTCCAGATCGCATGAGCCTGGTGGCGGCCCAGTGCTCGTACACGATCGTGCATTGTATGCATGTTGACCTTCTTTCTCGCCGTACGTAGCCAACCGTGCTAATCGGACGTGGCGTGGCCGTGCCAAGCCGCCGCCGCCGCAGCTAGACCAACGTACTCGACGGCGAACCGCTTGTCGTTCTCTTCCCCCAATCGCCAGGAACCAGTCGAACGTGCGCCGCATGCACACGGCCGTGAAGCTCAACGAGGTCATCGTGAGCCGCTCCCACGACTCACGCCTCGTGCTGCTCAACATGCCGGGCCCCCCACGCAACCCCCACGGCAACGAGAATTGTATCCTTCTCACTGCGGCAGCGTGATCGGGCGGAGGGGGGGGTGGGAGGTGGTGGTGGTTGGGGGGCTATCAACCATGCCAGATACACCGAGTCGGTGTCGGAGCCCGACACGATCTATTTCTACTTTATTGTTCGTCCAATTCTATTCGGATTATTTTGCACCGTACGTAGCCGCCCGTGCTGTTTGTCGGAGGTGCGGGGTAAGGAAAAGGAGTTGTAAATAGTTTTCAATCTAGGGAATGCGGCTGGCTTGCGGTGCGTAATGTGTCACTGGACGTGCGATCCGGAGGTCGCCGGTTCAACTTCCCCGGTGCGGAGTGAATGTGGGTACTCCTACTCCATTCCCATGTGATGCATCACAATGCCTTGACGTGTCTCGAGACCTCGTGATACCGGCTCAGAGCACCGAGCCGGCATCGCTGGCATCCTGGGTTCGAATCTGGATTTCAGCCACTGGAAAACACATTCCTGCGGAGGGAGCTGATAGGAACGTTGGGTTGCTCGGTCAATGGCCAGGGTCAACGGCGGCGTGGTGTATTCCGCAAATATGCCCGACTGTGAGGGCGGGCACAAGCCGGCGTGAGTAGGTTAAACCTTGAGTTTTATAAGGGCACCACGGGGTGACCAGCCCCTCCCCACCCAGCCCCACCCCTCCCACCCCCCACCCAGCCCCACCCTCCCCACCCAGCCCCTCCCCACCATCCCCTCCCCACCCAGCCCCACCCTCCCCACCCAGCCCCTCCCCACCCTCCCCTCCCTCCCCACCCAGCCCCTCCCGGCACGACTGACACAATAATCCCCTGTGAGCTGGTGTAACCAGGAGGTTCCTACCAGTTTAAACTGGGTTCTCAAGTGGAAGTGAGTAAATAGTGTCAGTATGATGATGTTCAGTATGATTTCAGTATGATTATGAACATTTTTCCAAGCTATTCCAGTTGAGAGAAATACGAATGCTGGTTTCATTGGCGTGCGACAATCGTGCCAAATTAAAACTGGCGTTCCCAGTGCGGATTGAAGAAGACCGCTGCAGAGACTTCAAAAGCAGGAAGTTATTTCCGCGGTGTGATATTCGGGGGCCAGTCCCTGGCACAATGCGGTGCACTGCTCACTGTCGGTGCTCCTTATGGAAAAGTCTTCGACTCACGACGAGTATGGCCGCAGCACAAATCTTTATACAGTTGGGGGATAAATTGCAAGCACGCTGAAAGAACAACTTCGAATTGTATTTTCCCAGCCGCTGCCAGCTGGCAGCGAGTGGTGGGTGGACGGGCAGGCGGAAGCACGGATAATGAGGGTGGCACTCGCTAGAAATAAAATGCCCTATTGATCGGACGATTGATTTCAAACTTGCTGAGAAATTTCCGGGAAGCCGCATGAGCAGTCGGCGCTAAAGCGTGGGCTTCTGATGTCCTGTCGGGGTGGGGGTCATTTCTTCAAACTGCGCACGTTCCGTTTAATTTACAATGTTTGGCCAGTGCCTCATTTTGAGAGTCGTTTTTTTTTTGTGTGTGTCCGCGTGGGAGGAATCAGAGTGCGGAAGAAATGCCTCACGCATATGAAAGGAGGAACTTTTAACCTCCATGCAGATAGATCAGCATCCTGCTGCACTGCCTCCCAGAGGTGCCACACTTCTGGTTCTTATCGTGGGGGAATGTCAAACACATGCCCTGAGTAGGGTTTGAGAATTACACCCCCACGTTGCCGGATGAAGACTGCATGGGGAAGCTTTCATCCACCAGCGGATGTTAACTACCTCGCCTGGTATACAGGAGGTCATGGGTTCGATTTTAACCCTGACGCCTGTATATTTGGGGTTTGCGTGTTCTCTCCCCGTGCATTTAGAGTGTTTGGCTGCTATAAATGTGCACGTGATAAGCCACTTCGTGGAACTATCATTTGTGACCCGGTCACTTCTGAAAGAGACCGATATAGCTCAAGTGGGCCTTGCCTGGTAAAATAAAACATTGTTTCATAGTTTACTTACGGTGGGGAATCTCAAACACGCACTTTCTTAGCCGGATGTATCAATTCCACCTCCACGTTGCCGGATGAAGTAGGATACAAAATAAAGATTCCCCCATGATCGAGCCGACATGGGGAAGCCTTCAGCTGCCAGTGGATTAACAAAGAGCTGTGGGGATCATACGATAATTGTTTTTTTACCCTTTTATCTGGCAACAAAACTGACACCATTTTTACAAGGAGTCATGTTTGCATTGACCACAATACCTGCGGTCATAATGCAAACAAAAAACACAACTCTGATAATGTATGCACTGTCCTTGAAGTTGATTGGTCCACACCCGAGACAGCTTTTCTTAGAGCCGAGTCTCACATGGTGTTGGACCAGATGACGCCAAAAGGTGTCAGTTTTGTTGCCAGATAAAAGCGTAAAAAAACAATTATCATATTTTGCTACTGGCAAAGGAAGGTTCCAATGGTGTAAAGGGATTATACGAGTTGCAGTACATTGAGCGCAATGCCTTCCCACCGTTTAGTATGGTTGTTAAGAAGTTGTCCACGCATGAGCACAACCGTGCGTTACCTTTCATCCGCCACTTCGTGCCCCAGACATGGAGTTCCTGGAGGTTCTGACCGAAGGCTTGGAGCGCGTTCTGCTGGTGAGGGGTGGCGGTGGCGAAGTGATCACCATCTACTCCTGACTCGGCACCGATTGGAGAGAGCGGCGGCCTTCCCGGTGCTGTGTGCGTCAACAACCCTGCAAACAAACAAACAAACGATCATGCTGCGAGGGGGGGGGGGGGTACGGGCCCTCCGTCAGTAGGGAAACGTAAAACACACAATGCACGTCGAGGTCTGTGGCCCGTTAGCAGTTGTGGCGTCGTGTCTTGTTGTAAAGTGTACTCGTTGTAGTTAGAGTTGGCAAGTCGTGTTTTAATTCTAGCCGGTCGGATCGGTGGCAGCCTTTGGCTTAGGCCTGGCCGCGTGGGCGAGCACCGTCCCATCCGGCCGTGTGTTTGGCCGCCGGATGTTTTCGGCGGTGCGGGCGGTCGAGTCACGGTGACGTGTGTCGACCCGGCTGAGGCTACTGCCTCTCGGTTTAAAAGGTTGTTTTATTTTTTGACAAGTGTCGGCACCCGCGTATCCGCCGGTCGTCATCTTTTTTTCTCCCCAGTATGTGGGTGCCAACATTAATGGGAAGGAAAAAACGATACATTTTAGTTTTAAGGCGCAATCTTCTTTTTTTCAGTTGTGTTCACAGTACAAGCGCTGGCAAACGGAAACGAACACAAGCCACCCGAATATATTTAGCTTGCCTCTTGATATATATAGATGTATGTATATTCAATACGAGCGGTGACGATGCATTGCGATTCGTTTTCCAACACACGATTCTTCAGTGTTAGCATAACCTTTCGATCAATGGAATCTTGTTGAGCTAGCAAATCGGGCATCGGCTCCCGAGGGGCACAGGGCACCCTAGCCAAAGTGCTGTTAAATTGCCGTTTGTGAGTAGACTGTGCAGTGATAACGTGACCTACATGGATACATGGATGGACAAAACTATTTTTGTTTTATGATTACAGTTATGCCTGTGTCCAAAATCACCTGGGGATATGCTCCCTGTTCTATTTCTTCTTGGAAGCTAAGCAGGTTTTCAGCCTGGATCGTGCTTTGAATGGGGCCATCCATTGAGCACCTGAGGTTGTTGTCGGCAGCCGTAGCACTGTGTGGTGAGCAGCAGAGGAAAGTGGATGCACGTCCATTGTGCTGCTACTTGGCATCCTACCCACCTTCACCATTCCCCAATGACCAGCGTGTTGTATCGTCTCGTATGGGGCTTGGAGGGCCCTCCATCTAACTGTGAGATTGGCAAAGGGTACAAAGCGTTGTCGCTTTGTACTGTTAGTGTAGACGTTATTGCTGTTTACGGAGACTTGGTGAGATGTTTTCGGCCTGTGTTTCTACACAATGCCTCTACTTTGAGCCACGTGTATGGACGTATGTGTGTTGAACTTATTTCGCACCGTTATGTAGGCAAACGTGCTAATTAGAGGTGCGGGGGAGGAGGGGGGGATTGGCAAGAAACTAAACACTTGAAATTGTATTTGGATGAAGAGGTTGCCATGTTGGCAGATGCAGCACAGTCGCTACTGTTACGCGGGACCTCTTTGAGATGACCGGTTGATGGTGCAATTGGCCTGGTAGTGTTTGCGCAGTCAGGACTGGGTGTAAAGCATGGGCTCGCATTGAGTGACCACTGCACATATGGTCAGCATCTTAATTACGTGCGATTTAAATACAAGTTAATCCTCGATTTACGCAAGGATGCGGTCTTAAATAAAAACGCGTAAAACGAAATATTGTAAATGGGAATGGCTTTTGCCATTAATATTAAAGGTAGGGATGTATTTCGGACTCGACTCGCGACCTAAAAATACAGGGTGTTTGATAAAGATGGACCCGATTTGAAATCGCTATATCTCTGCAACCACGAACCGCCCATGAATGAAACTCTTACCACTTGAAAGGGCGGGGCATAGAGAGGGCGAGGCATAGAGTTACAAATGATTACCGCTCGATGCCTCTCCCAGCGCACAAACAGCCCCTAGCCTCAGTCATTCGCAAGACACACTGCCTCAACGTTGGATAGGTCGCACAGGACCCCAAGACTTGGCGCTACACTCTTGGCCCCCAAGATCCCCAGACATCATCACACCCTGCGACTTTTTCTTGTGGGGATACGTCAAAGACCGTGTTGTTTTTGTGCCACCATTAGCGACTAATCTGGATGACCTCAAAAGCAGAATCACGGCAGCGGTGACTTCAGTGGAAGAACTCACTTTGAGAGGCGTTTGGGACGAATTCAACTATCGTCTCGATGTTGTCCGTACAGCAGGTGGAGGGCACATAGAGCATTTATAAAATGGTTAGTAAAACTTGATAACTCATTAAACCGTTGGTATCTTTTTGTGTAATTGTAACATGTTGCTATCGTGAAATATACTGCTTTGAAATTGGGTCCATCTCTTAAAAAAAAAAACTATATACACCACCCTTACCACGTCTCACAATAAACAAGAATAGAGCGTGACTATTAAAACGATTGAATCATGATGATTATTATTATTTAAGCAATTTTTCGATTTAAAGCTTTCGTGACTGCAGGGATTCATCTTCTTGGTTTTTTCGGGAAAAGTCACGAAGAAGGGAAATAATAAAATAATAAAAATAAAACATAATAAAATCATTCTCACGACGTTTCGCCCACAACGCAAGCAGCCGTCCTCAGGTGAAGAACAGGTCTGTCCAACCCAGCTTAATTATACGCTGCCAAACCTGGTGGTGTTCATTCAGACGCTGTCTTTCCGACAGACCTGTTTTTCAATTGAGGACGGCTACTTGCGTTGTGGCCGAAACGTCGTGAGAGTTATTTTATTATGTTTTATTTTTATTATTTTATTACTTGCCTTCTACGTGACTTTACCGAAAGAACCAAGAAGAAGAATTATTTTATTATGTTTTATTTATTTTTTTCTCTTCTACGTGACTTTACCGAAAGAACCAAGAAGATTAGCAATTTTTGTTTAACCTTTTCGGGGGAACTCGCCAACAATCATGTGCTGCACGTTGGAATGACTTGCGAGGCGATGGTGTGCAGGACGTTGCTGCTGTCGCGCTGCAGGGGACACCGTGACGCTGTCCCCGATGGATGATGCCGCAGCCTCCCGGTGGCTTCTCGTTTGATGATGTCGTGGCGCGTGGTTCGTCGTGAAATTTCGTTCACGCGGAAATTCGATTGCGTTCATCGAAAAGTATCCACAATTTGTCAATTGCGTAAACGTGACGTTCCGTAAACCGAAATCAAGGGGTGCGTGAATGTGGTTTCATTACTTTTGTAACTGGTAGAATTGTGGCCGAGTGGTTGGTGCACTGCGCTATGTACCTGGCAACCTGAGTTTGATTCCTGGCAACGGCTAACGTTACCAGCAAGTTATATCTATATTCTTTGGGACTTTCGGTATAGCCACGGAGATAAAAAAATATATATATTATGTTATTATTTCCTTCTTCGTGACTTTATCGAAAGAACCAAGAATATGAATATCACAATATCTGTTGGTTATTTTGAACATACTTCGCCATGCTGGCCAATGTGGGTCCCCCTCCTCCCCACCTCTATCAACCACAATTGACCAGCAGGGTGAAGCATGTTCAAACAACCAACATGATACACGTGGTGTGTAGTTACAGGCAGTCCGGCAGTGGACCGACAAAGAGCTGTAAGTTATTTTAAGATAAAGAGCTGGTGTCGGAATTGTACGGGGTTGCTGCCGGCATTACGATACGCCAGTCACGTGCCCGTCTCTCGGTCACTGGCTGGGACTCATTCAACCTGCGACCGTCGGTTGATCACCACCCACGGCGCTGCTGAATGAGAAGGCGCGGACAAACCCGCACGCACATCGCCACCACCGCCACCACCGCCACCACCGCCACCACCCACGTTGCTGCCGGTGGAGAAGGCGCGGATAAACCCGCACGCACACCGCCACCACCGCCACCACGCACGCCGCTGCTGATGGAGAAAGTGCGGACAAAACCGTACGCACACCGCCACCACTGCCACCACCGCCACCACTGCCGCCACGACCGCCACCACCGCTGCTCTCACGCGCGTGGCACTGGCCGAGCGACAAAATACTGCCGCTCCGCGAAATGCCTCCGGCGGTCATTCACAAGTGTTTTTTGGGGGGGGGCCCAGGAAGGTCGCGGTAAATGTCTCGAGTGGTTAAGGAGTGTGCAGTGTGCGCCGTTGTGCCCTTGTATTTGAAAGAGGGGACATCTAAGACCTGGAGTTATGAAAGGGATTGTGTTTAAGGTTAAGAGTTGGAGTTCGGGATAGTGTTAAGATATGTGGTTAAGCATGGGATTTAGTCAGAGGATAGGAATAATGATTTGTTTTTGGATAGGAGTGGTGTTAGGTAAGGGCTTGTGTTATGATTAAAGATGGGGTTAATGATCAGGTTAGGGATAGAGAGAAAGTTAGGAGATACACAGAGTTCAGGATAGATCTATTCTTATACTTAAGGATAGGGTTAGGGATGGAATTATGGTTATAGTTTTGGTTATGAATTGGGGTATCCATAGTGTTATTTTATATATATAGGATAGGATTAGCGTTCAGGATAGTGTGAAGGATGCCATCAGGGGATAGGGGTCGTGTCGTGGTTGAGTATTACAGTTGGGTTCAGCGATGGTGTTTGAGCTGCTCTTTGACCCCATTGCTCCGTTTTCGTACAGCAGTGATTCAGATGTCAGCGCAAGATCCTTAGCACTTCATTTTAAACCTTAATTATGTTATTGTTGACCTCAACAATGCTTTTACATCGTTTTATCTAGGAGGAGGAGGAGGAAGGGAAAAATTAAGTAAATTGTTGGCCGATTTGATGTGATGTCGTTTAGCCGGCTCTTAACAATTGCCAGCTTCATGAATATCTCGGTTATGTAGAAAGAATGCAAAGCGCTTCTCGGCCATTTGTAACTCGTCACTGTATTTAGGGACTTGCTGGTGAGTTCGATGCTCAAAAATGCCGCCAATGTGTGAACACTGTTTAAAGTCAACTTGTTTGCTGCAAACTCATCTCTTTTTATTGCCAATTCAATTTAAGTTTTCATAAGGTTTTGTAAAAAAAAAAATATGAAAGACAAATAATTGCGAATGATTGTTTTACATTAATCGTTACATGTCGTACACTGTGAACATTTGAAGAAAATAAAATCGATATAATGTGGTTTTACAACAAAGAATATATTTGGTTGCTGACGTTATGTTTAAAATCCCAATATAAAAATTATCTCAGAAGCAGCGATAAGCCAATTTGCAGGGATACCAACCAAACAGAACATCGCTTTTGTCCTTTTGAATCAGCATAATGGGTGTATGTGCCGTGGTGGCGAGATGTTAACTACCTCACCTGGTATGCAGGAGGTCGTGGGTTCGATCCCGACCCTAACGCCTGCTGCTGTATATTTTAAGTTTACGTGTCTCACTCCCCGTGGTCGCGTGGATGTTTTCTCCGGTTTTCCCCTCCACATTTAGGATTCATGCTTTTCGATGATTTGGCTGCTTTAAGCTTCCACGTGATGGTAACCCACTTTATTGAGCTATCATTTGTGGCCAGGTCGCTTCTGGAAAAGAGCTATAAAATATAGACTTTTTAATAGTTAGTATGTGCCTAATGCACATTAACAATCCGCAAGGAAATCGATGCGGTCGAAATGCTGACCTGACGACTATCCTGTAGTTGTCACGGTCAATGTTAAGAAAGGTTGCATGATCACACCCCATGATATTAAAGCTCAATATGGATTTTCATGAAATCTGACCAGCTATAGGTCAGCATTGTTCAGATAGAGTGGCGGCTGGTGGATATATATTAGTTTGGTACAGATGCCCCGCACAGAGTTTCTAATTGGAAATATATATTATAGAAATGTTTCATATATAAATGTATGAGATATTATAGACACGAACGATAAGAATAGGTAATAAAGTACGTGTGAAGATGTTTAAACACCAAATCGATACTTTTTTCTCAAGGAATCAAGTTCGCATTAACCACACCTCCTTATTGTGAACATGCAAACAGAGACATGCTCTGATAATGAATTACATTTGCATTGTCATTGAACGTATTTGCCTCCACCAAATACATACTTTGGCAAAAAGGTCCCATGATGTAGAAATGAACGAATCTGCTTCTAAAGATTTAAGAGCTATGCTCATATTTTGCTTAAATGAATAACAAAAATAACACTAATAACGAGGGGACACGCTCTGACCAAACGTATTCACGTCTAAATCAGACATCATGGTGAGCACATTGGATCGGGGAAATGAAGACTGGAATAATAGAGCACGATTCAAGCAAATACTCAAACATCATCTCGGGCTTCTTGACGACAGATCATTGTAAGTGACGTAAATTAATTTATAGGGCTTGAATGAAGAACTTCACAAAGAAAGTGGCAGGGTGGAGCTAAAGGTAATTACGAGTAAAATCAAGTCACGGTACAAGTTCACTCAACAAAAGAATATAATTGTTTAAAGGGCACAGCTGGAAAACACCACAGATTCACTGCACCGTACATAACCAGCCCTTGTCTCAATCCACTGCTAGATTAGCGCGCACATGGCCTCACCTGTGTTTTGCAAGATTGTTTTGTATCCTCTACTGTGAAGCAGACGACCCGTAGTAGTATTTTGAAAGCAGATGGCACGTCTTTTTTTATGAAAACACCGCCTGCAGTGTTCACCAGGGCGGACTGCTGGGATGGAACCACTCAGCCATGGCGCCGACTTAGATCATCGCTGATTATTGTAATGACATTCACCTTACACTTTGCGCACATTAGAAATCTGTAAACACGATTGCTGCAAATATTGTGAGGACACTTTTCAACACGAAGCTCGTTTGAAAACGACATGCAGGTTGCTCGCAAAGAGACGCATTGCCTTAATGACAATGGTAGGGACATTTTGATAATCAAAATATACATTTAGAGTTGTGATCAGCCATGGTCTGCGCGCTGCAGGATGAAGCCCTCCTGAAATGTCACCAACCCTCGTGTTTCTATGATGACTAAGAGCATTTCCCTCCTGCGTATCAATCGGTTTTATATCGCACACACACAGACACACGTGGACACAGGCCTCAATGTCAGCCGGGGCTGTCTGGGTCAGTGACCCATGAAAATATATTTTCACACCCGGCACACCACACCCAGAATACATCTCGCTCTGGCTGTGCGATATTATCATGACGTGCCTTGCTTCGTGCAGTGTAGAAGAAAACAATATATAATCAGTGAGAAATTAACGCTCGGATTCCAAACGATACAGAAGTGGCACGAGAAACGATACAAAGTCGACAGACAATCACAAACAAGATGGTGCCAACGAGACCGACGAAGCTTTTGAAGACAATGCACTATTGACTTTCTTTTCCATTCTGACCACAAGTATTGTGGTTAATGCAGACATGATTCCTTGTTAAATGTTTCAGTTTGGTGTTTTAACATCTTAACACCTGTTTTGTTGCCAGAAAAAAGGGGGAAACCCTATTATCATATTTTGGTACTGGCAAAGGAGGTCCCATTATGTAGCAAGACATTGTTTATTTTTTTATCTTGGTGGGGAGGGGGGAGATCAGTGGTGAGCGCACTGGTCACCCGAGTTAGATTC